AAGATCAACTAGCTAGACCCTGGAACTCCTTTGGCCCGCTGTCCTTTTGAGAGGCGGGCAAAGCAAGCCAGGATGCGACCCCAGAGCCGCGAGGCCCGATGTCCTTTTAAGGACCGGACTCGTGTGGCTGGTGGTTGTGACCTACGCCGAAGCTGGGCTAGGTCAGATAGCCTCGGGAGATAGGGCCAGGTTAGAGGGAACCAGGGAGCTAGCGTAGGCTTGAGCTCGGAGACCGTTCCCTCTGTAGAGTACGGGTGGAGAGGCCGTTACCTCTCCAAGTATTAGATTCGTTACTGTGATCGAAGTGTTGATAATACATGCGTGTCGCCTCTACGAACAGTCTCCGAAGTCATTAAGGCCACTACACATGTGTAGAGTCGGGCTTCAGGATGCACTGTGGGATTGCAGACTCAGACGGAGACCAGGGTCGAATATTCAGGGCTGCTTGCCGTTTATTCACGCCAACATCCGCACTCTTCGTTCCGTCGCGAGTACTCACTACTCCCTGTCTCTAGCCCTCTCTCCCGACTCCCTCAACCTTCGTCCAGGCTACCCTGTACTCTTACACCCGTAGCCTCCTTTGTCTCTCCGGCCCAGTAGCCTTTCTCCCTGCTACCTAGCTCCTCTCTCCCCTTTCTCTCTCTCCCCTCCCTTCCATCCAGGTTCCCCTTTTATCCCCTTAGCCCGGGCTCCTCCCTTTTACCCGGCTCCCCCACGAGCAGACGTCTCACTCTTTCTACTTACCCTCCTCTCTCGCCCCTCTGACACTCCCCTTTCTGCTTGGACCCCTTCCCGCAGTTGCTCCTCGTTGGGTCCCCGCAGTACTCCTCTACACATGTACAAAGGTCTGTTCTGGATGACCACAGTCATACACCGGAGTTTTCCATTGGTGCATCAGGTGTTCGCATCGGCCATGGTTTGTGGCAGGGGAAATGAATGGATTGGTAGGGAGTCTTGGAAAGTTCAGGAAAGTATGGGGAGGAGAAAAGGAGCAGACAGAAGGGGGCTTTGGGGCACCTGAACGGAGTGATTCTTCGATGTGTGACACGCTGTGCAGAGGACCTCATAGAGTCCAAGTTCATAACTCACCCGGCTGGAACTCCTTTATAATAATACAACAGCTGTGTGGTTTAGCAAAGCTGCAAGACAGTGATGGCGAGTTGTGTGGTACCCCGGCCTCGAAGCAACTCTGCAAGCGCCGCGATCCCCCCCTGGCCCCCACACGTAGCAGACACGCAGCGCATACACGTAGTGTCCTGGCGGGGGATTGCTTGGCACAACGGGTTTTAATTCGAAGAGTCCCCAGGAGGAAAGTCCCGGTTTCCCGGTGCCAGGAGATTGGCCGACCCTCGCAGGACAGGTTACATTGTGGTGCCCCCGAGTTGGCTTAATATTGTATGGGCGCAAAAAGGTTCACTGGGCCAGCCGCAATGAGCCATTCATGACATCGGGATGGGCTGGGGTGGAAAATTAAGCGAGAAGGGCAGATCATGAGATCAGGGGATCGCAGCGCCACGACCTCCTCTGAACCCCCATATCGAATACACACTCGCAGGGTGTGTATTCGCCAGTCGGGCGTCATTCCAAATTAACAAGGGTGAGTAATACATTAATGAGTATGGATGGACAGACAACGGGTCACAGAAGCACCAGCGGCAATGCTCCATGTAAGTGTAGTGACATATGACGTCACTACTGTATCGGGTCTGTATACACATGACGTCACTGCGATATTGGGTCTGTACACATGACGTCACTGCCTGTTCGGTATGGAGGCTGTATATGGGTGCCATGGGGGTTGTGTCAGGCCGTGGCACTCCGAGTGACCCCAGCTGGACACGTGACCGGATCCAGGAGGGGGCTAGGGGCCCTGGGGGACCCTGGGGGTCACGTGGTCAGGGAGTGGAGCCTTCTCGTGGTTTCGAGAAGGGGGGCGTGGTCAGCCACGCTGGAGAGGCTTATAAGCAGGCTCAGCGCGCAGAGCTGGGTTGTTGGTGCCTAGGATGAAGCCGTTGCATGAAGACTCTGAAGGAAGAAGCCTCCAGTCATCGTGGCCAAGCAGAAGCCCTCCTGGCTTGGCCACACCAAGTAGCACCCGAGTGATCACGATATAATTTTCTCCGATACAAAGGTTCTTTGCAAACCCACGGGTTTTTATCAGAGATTTGTTCACGAGGCAATTCAGATTTACAAACACAGACACAATTTCAACCGAGAAGATGGTTTCAAATTAAGCAACCATTGGAAAGATGTTCTAAATCGAACCAAACATTAAACTAATTTTCAATGGTACAGTATATTTTTTCAAGTAGTGGTACCCCAAACTTTCGCAGCTCTTAAAATTCCCTTTTCACACCATCGAAGTGTATACCCAGTTGCTGTTAATAGCTCAGCTTATTGAAGAATATATTGAGTACATTTATTATATTGATGTAATTTAGACTTAGTTTTTTCACATCGGTTTACTGTATGATAGTTGGGTAGCGCAGCCCCTTTGGCGTCCATGTACTAGGTGCCTCTGTGGATGTGTAAACTTTGACTTTAACATAGCTATTTCTGTGACCAGTCACAAGCTAATCCCTCGGCTATTTCAATGCTAGTTTTTTTCACATCGGTTTACTGTATGATAGTTGGGTAGCGCAGCCCCTTTGGCGTCCATATACTAGGTGCCTCTGTGGATGTGTAAACTTTGACTTTAACATAGCTATTTCTGTGACCAGTCACACGCTAATCCCTCAGCTATTTCAATGCTAAATTCTCCTGTTTGATATGTAAACTCCTTTGTCAAGTTGCGAGGTATGCGGCAGGGCGTTTGAGTATCTGGGGACTGAGGCAGGAGTAGGCTAGGCTCTTCTCACGAAATATTCTATGGGTCGGTGTGGGTCTGTGCGAGTCTGTGAGTCTAAGAGCAGATGGTGGGAGGAGGAGGCTGTTAGGGCAGACCTTGGAGGTTGCTGTGTGTCTCCTGAGCTGCAGCAGCAATAGCTGCTGTGGCAGCGTTAGTGATGAGATGTGGCGGTGGCATCAACGGCTTTGTCCACGATGACATCTTGGGTTATTTAGTGAATGTGAACCGTCATGGTGTTGAGCTGTGTGCGATTGTCAACTAAAGGTTGCATAAAAACACCTTTAGGGTGCAGATATGTGTGTATTGGAACGAGTGTGTGCATACGACTGTTTTACCAACACGTGCACACATTTTTCAACTGTTTTCACCAACACAGTTTCTTTATTCATAGCCCTTGGTCAATCTGCTGCCAGATGAAGGCTTCCCCTATGCCGTGTCAGTTTTCCGAGGCTCCTCCTTCAAAATCCTGCACTGACCAGTGTGTGAAGTGTATTCAAACAACTAAAACAATATTTCAGAGTTCAATGTTTCTTCATCTGCGAGTGGCTACAACACTCATTGCGATCTCGGCTTAATAAGGAAAACCTTATTGTGAGGAATTATAACACACAACTACTCTTGGTCATGCAGAGCCCTAGGTCAATCCACTGTTGGGTGAGGACCTTCCCACGGCTGTGTGGGTCATGGTGGTTATTTCACCATACTTCACCACGCTGGTCAGAGCGGGTTGGTGAAGCCAGGGAAGAGGTGTGTGAGATTAGGGTGCTGGAGTGCCGAGATGTTAACTACCTCGCCTGGTATGCGAGAAGACATGGGTCCGATCCCGACCCTGCCACCTGTATATTTGGAGTTTGCTTGTTCTCCCTGTGGTCGCGTGGATTTTACTCCGGATCCTCTAGTTTCAACCTCCACATTTACAAACATGTGTTTTAGAGTATTTGGCTTGCTATACATTTTCACGTGATAAGCCACTTCGTTGAGCTATCATTTGTGGCCAGGTCGCTTCTGAAAAAGAGCTAAAGAACTCAGTGGGCCTTACCTGGTAAAATAAAAATAAGTTTAGTTAGTAGTTCGTTAATAGAGTACCACAAGGGGGATGTTGAATGTTGCTGCACCACCCTCTGCTGCTGTTGCTGTTAGCCCTGCGCGGCAGCCGCCTATGACAACTTGATATGCATGGTATGCTGTCCAAATACAAGTGCTACCTATAGTCAACCATGCTTTGCTTCCTAGATCATGAGACCCGGCTCGTTCCGTGTGATTTGGTCAGAGGCTGCTAAAACAAACAAAACAACAACTCAAGTATTTATATATCTCATTTAGCATACAAATATGTATCAGTTAGTATACATACACAACACGTATGTATATATCGCTACGGATAAATACGAGGATACAGAAATGTGGATGATCGAGAAATGTTGACGGTTTTAGAAATGTTGTTGCGTCGGTTTGTCATTAATAATTCACACCATCGCCCTTTTCATAATCACCACCACTCTCGGGAAATCTCTATATTTTCCTATATATTACACATTTAAAACACCGCGCGATCCTGTCACTAGACATTTAAAAAGTGCGGTAAAGTTAAAGAACGTAGGGCATTTAGCGTGCCCCTAAGTTAGTTTAACCCTTCGCGTGAGCCAAGTCACCATGGCGGATGTATTACTTCTTGGACTCAATATCAGTGCTTCCAGTTCAGCAGCATGCTGACTCGTTAAAGTGTTAAGATGGGAATTATGCATCACTTTTACATTGAATGCGTAATAACGTTATTGCCAGAAAGGGTAAAAGCTCTTTTTAAAAATAAATTTTGATAGTGGGAAAAAGATCCCATAGATAGAACTGCTCGACCCGAGCTATAAGTGTTCTGATACTTGCATTGTCTTTGTACTGTTCGCCTTTTGGCGTTCTATGGTCTAACACATTGGTGAGACAAGGCCATAAAAGAAGGCTGCTGTCTCTGGTGTAGGCCAATCAGTTTCAAGGACAATGCATATATGATTATAGCATGTTTGTTTGCATGTTTCTCCACATGTGTGGTTAATGAAGACTTGATGCCTTGAAAAAGGTGTCTATTTGATGTTTGAACATCTTAACACAACTGCTGTTTTATTGCCAGAAAGGGTAAAATCTCTTCTTATTTTTCATAATTTTTTGATACTGGCAAAAAGGGCTCATAGATACGCAAAGCAATACTTCAACGAATCGATAACCAGTCGAGTATGGACGCTGCTCTGGTGTCATGGTCGTCACACTTAAGTTGTGATCCAGAGGGCCAGTTTTCCATTCCATCTCCTGGCACTGCAGTTGAAGCAAGTTTCTTCAATTCCACCTCACACCCCTCTCATCCCCATGCCGCCTCTGTCCACCCAGCAGCATAAATGAGCTCAACCACACAGTTGGCCAACAGGTCGCGAGTGGTGGGGTAAAACGTGGGTAACTCCCGCATATTCCAAGATGTCTGGCCAGTGCAAAAGAGTAGGCCTAGCACCCTGTGGAGAGGTGATCTCGAGCTCATTGCAGTGGAGGCATCCCACAAAGTTGTTGCGGTCGAGGGTGACAGTTGCCGTATGTTTACAAAGGTAGTCATTTGTAATTTTTCTAATTTGGACTGTCGCGCCGGCATACACTGGCCGACTATTATGACTACTCTTCTTTAAATGCCATCAGGGGGTCTTTAACATCCACTGTGAAGCAGATGGTGCAGTATTAACCGGGGCAGCCTCTGGGACTCCAACCGCGAGCCTCTGCAACGAGCGGTGAATGCGCTTGCCCGCTAGACCAGCAACAGAGGGCGAGGCTTACCCCTCTCCCCCTTTTCCTCGTTCTCCGCTGTCTTCGCCCCTCTCCACCCCATCTCTGCTCACTGCAGCAGGGAGTCCTGGCTGGCGTGGTGCGACCCGCGGGCCCCCAGGGTCCAGAAGCAGAAGCGGTAGGCGGGGCGAGTCTTGGGCGCAGTGTGCTCCTGGCTTTCGCGCTCGCGAGCCGCGCGCACGAAGAAGTCCTCCTCCTTCAGGTACCACACGGGTGGCCAGCGGCCCGCTTCGAACACCGCCATATTCTCTGCGAGACAAACAGTTTTTGCCAAGTCAACTCAGCTCCACATCCTCCTATACCGCATCAGTGCATCTCATCTGCAGCCCATGTCGTGCCCATTTAGTCCCCTCTATCTGGCCAAACAAAAGCTGCTTGGGCATGCGGTGGTTGCCAGGTCTCCCTCGTAAAAGAGATTTTTAACCTCAAGGTATTTTTACCTGGTGAAATAAAGGTGAAATCTAAAATAAAATGTGGGCAATATGACCTAGCCAACGCAGCCTTGCCTGGTGAAGGAGCTCACTTAAGGGAATGTGTCCAGATCTTTCAAGGATTTGTGAGCTCCTTACACAATCCAGCCTGGTTAAACCTAGGATGGATTGTAGGCAGGCCAGCCTGAATGTTTCTAACCGGCGCAGATGGTCCACATTTCACAAGCATAGAGACGGCAGGGCATGACTGTGGCCGAGAAGACCCGAAGCTTCGTACGGCGCGACAGACCAGGTAGCTTCCACACAGCATTACGTAGCCGATGAAAAAATAATGTCACCTGACTGATTCGGAGTGAGACCTCTGCTGTCAAACCGGAGCTGGCCATAAGCACACTGCCCAGGTATGGGAAACTCTCCACTTTCTCCACAACTGCTCCATCACCAATGGGGAGCTGAGTGGCACACTCCAGGTTCAGCAGCAGCGCCTCCAACTCCTCCTCTGAGTAAGCAGCAATCACCAGATCATCAGCATACATAACATGGTTGACCAATAGGCAGCCATCCTGTACCAGATGGAAATTTCTCCGATACAGCATCGAAGGCTTCACGAATTACATGGTCGAATTAGATGTGAAATGTGGGAGCCAGAGGACATCCCTGTCGCACCCCAAGGTGAACAGGGAATTGCTCCGACTCCTGGCCATAATGATTGTGAGCAGAGTCAGGGACTCTGAAAACATGGAGAACAACCCAGAGCCCAGGCCTACTGATGGTATCATAGGCCATGACCAGGTCAATAAAGCAATAATGTAGGCCCTCTTTGAATTTGCTACGCCTCTGCTGCAGCAGACGGACAGAGAATGTGATCCATGCAGGACCGCCCTGGTCTGAAACCACATTGGGGTACCACAAGCCTCTCATCAGCGTGCCTGGCAAGGTGATGTTGAATAATCCTTGCCAGAACCTTTCCCGGTACACTGAGGAGGGAGATGCCCCTGTAGTTGTTACAGTCTGTGCGGTCCCCCTTCTGAAAGAGGGGGACCTTCTGAAAGAGGGGGACCACCAGGGCATCCTTTCAATCCTTTGGAACCCATCCTGTGGTCCAGACAGTGGTGATGATGTCATGTAGGGCAGTCTGTGCATATATGCCACCTTCCCCTCAGAATTTTGCTTGGGAGATCATCTCTGCCCGGTGCTTGTCCTGGTCTTAGACTATGGATTGTCTGTTGTACTATCTCCACAGATGGAGATAGTACAGCGTGCATCCATGATGTGTGGATGCCAGAAGAGCATGTTGGTAATTCAAAGCCCCTGAGCAGCACAGAAGTCGAGCAGCCTCCTACCATTATTATTGAGCTGATCTGGCCCATGTCTTCCAATCACTCCGGCCCTGGTGTCTGCGTCATGACCCACTCGGGCATTAAAGTTACCCAATAGGATGACTCTATCCCGAGGGGCCACTTTAGCTAGCACCTGGGATAGGAGATTATAGAAGGTGTTTGACTCATCGGCCTTGTCTGCATCCTCAATTGATGTTCATCTGCAGTGGGGGCATAAGCAACCACCACCACCACCATTCCTTGCCTCTCTCACACTCACACACAAAGATCCCCCATATAGCCTTAACAGACTGTTGGGGAAAGTGCTGGAAGCGAGCGGCACCTGTGAAGGCCACAATGGCACTTGGGTGGTGGGAAGCCAGCACCACTCCCTACCGCCTTTGTCTCCCCAGTGCTGATGTTTACACACTGCACCAAGTACTCATTTTATGCTGGGTATACCTAGGGGAGGCTCAGGACTGGTTCAGATAATTGTCACTGGTGTCGCCCGTGAGTGGGAATCGAACTCAGGTCACTAGGTTCGTAGCGCAGCGAGTTAACCGCTACACTACCGCTCGACACAAACATGTACTCACACACGCACTGACACTATCGGATCGGCTCACCGGCAGACATTTTCATCATCTTGACAGGATACTCGCGGCACACGGTGTTGAAGTTGGTGCAAACGTGGTGACGCAACCACCCAGCCAACCGCTCAGCATTGTGAAGCTGCACACACAGAGATACGCGGACACACACAGACATGTATAGATACACGCGGATACATACAGATACACACAGACATGTACAGATACACGCGGATGCATACACACACACAGATACATCCAGTTACACACATATATATGCAGATTCATATATAGACACACAGATACACGTGGATGCACACAGACATGGATACATACATACACACATAGATAGACACATGCAGATACACACACATACACACGCACACAGATACACACAGACATGTACAGATGCATGCAGATACATACACGCACACACACACACAGATATACACAGATACATACAAAGACCCATCCAGACACATATAGATACACACAAATATATATATATCCAGATACATACAAAGACAGGCGGATACACAACAAAAACAACAACCGCTATTCGCCACTAAGTGGCGGTGACGTAACGATGGCACTTGTGCAAGGATATGTGCACGTTAAGGCCACATGAAGTGTTGACCGCCTGTTGGCAGGAGGTCACGGGACAGACCCAGGTGCTATGGGTTTACTGACGGAGATGGCTGGCCGATGCACCGCTGTGTTTTAGCCACCCGGCGCTCCGCTCTTTGTATATTTTGATACTGGCAAGAAAAGTCCCATATTGTAGCTGCTCAACCTGAGCTATAAATGTCCTGATAGTGCATTGTCTTTGTGCTGTTCGCCTTTTGGCATTCTCTGGTCTAATCCTTTGAGACTAGGCTCTAAAGAAAGCTGTCTCTGGTGTGGACCAATCAGTTTCAAAGACAATGCATATATTATCAGAGCATGTTTTTGTTTGCATCTTCATCACAAGTATGTGTGGTTAATGCACACAGGATTCCTTGCAAAATGTTTCTGTTTGGTGTTTTAACATCTTAGTGCCTGTTTTATTGCCAGAAAGGGTAAAACCTATTCTTATATTTTGATACTGGCAAGGAAGGTCCCATGTTGAACAATAACTGTTTAGGCATGCAGTGGTTGGGCATGCAGGCTGGGCTACATGACCCAAGCCAACGCAGCCTTGCCTGCCGGAGGAGCTCACCAATGGGACTTTGTCCAGATCTGTCAAGGATTTGTGAGCTCCTCACACAATCCAGCCTGGTTAATCCCAGGTCCACGTTTTGCAAGCATTGAGAAGGGAGGGTATGACCGTGGTCGAGAAGACCCGAAGCTTCGCATGGAGTAACAGACCAAGTCGCTTCCACACAGCATTAAGCAGCTGATAAAAAGATAACGCTTGACTGATTTGGAGTGAGACCGCTGCTGTTAAACTGGAGCCAGTCATAAGCACACTGCTCAGGTATGTAAAACTCTCCACTCTCTCCACAACTGCTCCAGTACCAGCCATCGAAGGCTTCACAAACTACGTGGTCAAAATAGATGTTAAATCATTTGGGAGCCAGAGGGCATCCCTGTCGCACCCCAAGGTGAACAGGGAATTGCTCTGACTCCTGGCCACGTGGTTTTACTTGGGCCTGCCCACCATCATGACGGTCCATAATGATTGTGAGCAGAGTCAGGGACTCTGGAAGCACGAAGAACAACCCAGTGCCCAGGCCTACTGATGGTATAATAGGCCTTGACCAGGTTAATAAAACAGTGATGTAGGTCCTCTTGGAATTCCCTAAACCTCACCCATTTCCCCTCAGCATCAGAAGAAGGGGGGGACGATGCCAACCCCAGCTGCAAGCGATGATGATATTTTCGGTGAAACTTTTATCAGCTCTCTGAGAGCAGGCCACTGTGGGTTTGATTGGGGTCCTGGATGTACACCCACTACCGGAGTGGAAGCATGGCAGGTGCATCTCACAGATGACAAGCTGATGGTCAGTGGGCAGATCAGCTCCACGGTAAGTGCTGGTGTCAAGGACATGGCCCTACATCCGCTGTTCCATCATGATATAGTCCAGCAGATGTTCTTGCTTGGATGAAGCGTGCATCTTTGATGTTGTCTGGATGCGCCGATGCCGGAACAGCATGTTGGTAATTACAAGCCCACAAAAGTTTAGAATAGGTTTTCCCCTTTTTTCTGGCAACAAAACAGGTGTTAAGATGTTAAAACACCAAACTGAAACCTTTTACAAGGAATTGTCTGCATTAACCACAATACTTGTGGTCAAAATGCAAACGAAAAACACTGATAATATATGCATTGCCCTTGAAACTGATTGGTCCACACCAGAGACAGCTTTATTTTGAGCCTCGTCTCAAACGGTGTTAGACCATATTCTTAGTTTTTTCGGTAAAGTCACGTTGAAGAGAAACAACAAAATAACAAAATATATATAAAACAATAAAAAATTCTCACGACGTTTCGACCATAACTCAAACGGTCATCATCAGGTGTTAGACCAGTTAGACCAGAGAACGTCAAAAGGCGTACAGCCCAAAGACAATGCACTATCAGAGTAAAGAGAGCTCGGGTTGAGCATCTACATCATGGGACTTCCTTTGCCAGTACCAAAATATGATAATAGGTTTTCCCCTTTTTTCAGAGTGTTTTTTTTTGCATTCTGACAAATATTGTGGTTAATGCAGACATGATTACTTGTAAAAGGTTTCAGTTTGGTGTTTTAACATCTCAACACCTGTTTTGTTGCCAGAAAAAAGGGTAAAACCTAGTCTCATATTTTGGTACTGGCAAAGGAGGTCCCATATGATCTGCACAAAAGTTGTTATGGAGCTGATCTGACCCATGTCTTCCAATCACTCCAGACCAGGTGCCAGTATTATGATCCACTCAGGCATTTAAGTCACTCAATAGGATGACTCTTTCCCGAGGGGCCACTTTAGCTAGCACCTGTGACAGGAAGTCATATAAATAAGGCATCTGTAATCACCACCACCCCTTGCCTTTGGTTGATGGAAAGGCAAGCCCACAGTAGCCTGGGGCTTACAGCTTCCCACACCTCACTGCCATGCTCCCACACACCCCCGTCATTATTTTGTTCAGAAGAGCCACTCCCTATTTTTTGACAGTCTCCAGCTCCCAACAGAGGAGTGGCAGCCTCTCCTCCGCTGTGAGCGTTCAAACATTCCACGTAAACACCCGCAGTAGCTTTTTGCTGTTTTTGGAGGAACCCTGAGGGTAAGGATTCAGTCTCTTCGCTCCGCCAAATGTGGTTTGGCCAAGAGACGTCATAGACTCCTGTCCCCTCGAGGGCCTCCGCCACATGCTTCGTTCAATAATTTTCACATGGTTTAGTGGTAATTTAATTGAAGGTGGAGGGGTTACTAGCCCCTCGTATCCATCCAGAGCCCCCGTTAGGTCGCTTTGGTGGCTGACTATAAGCGCCAAGAAGGGGTATAGCCGATTTTGGAATTGGCCTCCCCTCCATGGCATTGCTCACATACACCACAGCGTTACCATCCGGTATCTCCAAGGAAGTCGGGGGTTGTTTTTTTCATGGATACACACACACACGGATACATACAGAAACACATAGATAGATACACGTAGATACATATATATACCCACATGTACACAAATACACACAAAGACACATGCAGTATGTGGGGAAGCGAGGAAGTATGTGGAGGTGTGGGAAAGTATGTGGAGGTGTGAGGAGTGTTGAGGCCTCACCTGGGTGAGCTCCAGAGAGATGAGCACTTCACGGTTTATGTCTTTGTTGGCGTCCGACAAGGCCTCCAGTCGGCGCACCATGTGGAACTCTAACCGACAGCACAACGCACACAAGCAAATAGACAAATATCCCACATTTAGCCTTCACAAACTGGGTACCACGGTGGCGAGATGTTAACTACCTCGCCTGGTATGCAGGAGGTCGTAGGTTCGATCCCGACCCTGACGCCTGTACATTTGGAGTTTGCATCTCCTCTCTGTGGTCGTGTGGATTTTTCTCTGGGTTTTCCGTTTTTTCCAATCCACATTTAGAAATGCGTTTATAGTATTTGGCTGCTATAAATTTCCACATGATGATAAGCCACTTCGTTGAGCTATTGTTTGTGGCCAGGTCGCTTCTGAAAAATAGCTATATAGCTCAGTGGGCCTTACCTGGTAAAATAAAAATAGTTTATAGTTAAAACTGTTGGGGCAAGCACTATTAGCGAGTAGCACCTATGATAGCCGGCACGGCACACGAGGGAGTGGATGGCCAACAACCACGCCCGGCCACCTTTGTTTCCCCAGTGCTGATGATTTACACACCGCACCAGGTACTCATTTAAGGCTAGTGTTGCCTGTCAGTGGGAATTAATGTTGGCTGTGAGCAGGAATTGAACTTATGTCGGCCGGGTTTGTAGCGCAGCGCTAAAAGCAGAATCTTCATTGAGACTGGAGGATTTCGATGAACTATGAAGCTCTTTTTCACAGATGTCCAGTAATTTTACAAACACAGGGATGTAAAATCAAAACAAATATCGCCCATGTAGCCCCCTTATGCTGCTGATAATAATCATCATAATATCAACTTGTAGCGCACCGCAGGATATCAGCTCACTCTAGTGGAGAGAACGAAGACTTAGAGGTGCGAGGAACCACACGCAAGCAGAGAGGCAACTGCCAGGCGTTAAGGAGCTAGTGCCAACAATTGCCCAAGCTCTGCAGTCCTCTATATATGTATCAAGGTGGTATCGGACAATTAACGAGTGCTTACATGCGGAGAGGAACCCGGAGCATCCGGAGAAAACCCCATGCATGCGAGGGGAATACGCTCTATCCCTGTACAGACGGAACAGGTGGAGTCCACCACCTCCTCGATGCCCACCCACAGGAAGGGAGTTTCACAACAACATCTATGCGGTGATCCCACCAACCCTCGCTGCTGCCTCCATGACAGTGCTAGATCACTACAGGCGATCACGTGCAGGAGCCACCATCGTGGCTGCTGCTGTTGCTGCTTCTGCGAGAGGCTAGCACCTGCCAGGTGGACGAGCCGGGCCATGCAGAGGCGGTTTCCCATGCCGATGAGCTCCATGAGGTTGAGCTCGTGGGAGACGGTCACGTGGCGTGTGTAGAGGTACTCCAGAAGTGCACGCACGCACGCACGCGACGTGCCGGGGAGGCGCACCTACGGTAGCACACAAAAGGCAAAAGAGCCACCCCATCCCGCCCCCGCGTAAATAACCTTAACAGACTGTGAGGGCAAGTGTTGTTAGCGAGTAGCAGCACCTGTGAAGGCCGGCACAGGACACGAGGGGGTGGGTGGTAGCACCACGCCCGGCCGCCTTTGTCTCCCCGGCGGCGATATTAGACACCGTGCCAGGTACTCATTTGAGGCTTAGTCAACTTAGGGGAGGCCCAAGACCTATCAGATAACCGTTACTGGTGTTGATGGTCGTGAGCGGGAATCAAACTCGGGTCATCAAGTTCACAGCCCGGCGCGCTCACCACTGCACTACCGCTCCCCACAGTGGCACACGCACACTGATACAACAACACAACTATCGTCACAACAATCATAATCAACACCACAATTCCTTCTACCATCACAACCACCACCACAATTATGTCGACCGCCACCATCATCACCACCGTCGCCACCTTCCAAGTGCCCTCACCTCATCCTGGAAGTTCTCTATGAAGGCTCCACTGAACATGGCAGCCATCCACTCGCAGCTGGGGATGAGCAGGGGCTTGTGAGCAGGCACCAGCCCGTTGTCTGTGCGGAACACCACGTCTACTCACGCGACCCCGCACGTGCACACACACAGCACATGCTGTTAACGAGCATCTGTTAACGCCGGCGCGGCACGTGGTGGAGGGGGGTGAGGGGAGTTCCACGATTGGTTCAGATATCACTGATGTTAGTCACGGCCGGGAATCGAACTCGGGTCGCTGCGTTGGCTCCGCTTGTATACACGTGTGTGTGTATGTGTGCGCCTGTGTGTCTGTGCACGTGTGTGTGTGCGCACGTGTGTGTGCGCGTGCGTGTACCGGCGAGCGTGCCGCGTGCCAGCAGGTCACGCAGACGGTTGGCGCGCCGCGTGTGGAAGGCACGCGTGACCTCGGTGTTCATGAAAGCCTCGCTCTGCAGCTCGTTGCCCACCATGACGCGGAGGTCGAACACCTCCAGCGCCTCGGCCACGGCGGCCACGGAGCGCAGCGCCGAGACGCGTCGCACCACGCGCCGCTCCAGATCTGTTCATCACGCACACACAGATGAAGATCCCCCGTGTAGCCTTAACAGACGGCTGGGGCAAGTGCTGCTAGCGAGTAGCACCATGAAGGCCGGCAACGGCACACGAGGGGGTGGGTGGCCAGCACCACGCCCGGCCGCCTTTGTCTCCCCAGTGAAGATGTTTATACACCGTACCAGGTACTCATTTGAGGCTGAGTAGACCTAGGGGAGGCCCAGGACTTATTCAGATAATCATCACCGTGTTGGCCGTGAGCGGGAATCGAACTCGGGTCACCAGGTTCATAGCACAGCGCGCCAACCGCTGCACTCCACTCCATCGCGCACACACACACACAAAGGTCCCCCGTGTAGCCTTGAACAAACTATAAGGGTTAAGTGCTGTTAGTGAGTAGCACCTATGAAGTTCTGGTACAGCCGGCACCACGTCCGTCCGCTTTTGTCTCCCCAGTGCTGATGTTTACACACCGCACCATGATGATAATGCAGCAGCATCATAATCAAATGAGAATTTGAGGCAGAGTCGACCTAGGTGAGGTCCAAGACCGGTTCAAATAATTGTCACTGATATTAGTCACGAGAGGGCAATCGAACTCGGGTCTCTGGGTTCATAGCGCAGTGCAGAGCTAACCACTGTGCCACTGCTCCACATCGTGAACGCTGCAATATCTCGCTGATCTGATTAAGGAGCATTAACCATTACGAAAACTCGGTTCATCCTCCCAGCAGTGGCTTTTGGCGAACCATAGAACAAAGATGGTCACCGCATCGCGCGCTTTCAGTTGCGCTTCTGCGGCCGTCTTGAACGCTCTTCCTTCCGATGTAAGGAAGCCACTGAAGCTATGCACTTTTTAGATCATCTCGACTGAAAGCTAATTTCTTTAGAACTGCTTCTTGCGTTTAGTTTGTTGTCCTTCCCCCCGCACCTCCAAATCAGCACGGTTGTACTCTGTACAGTGCGAAGGAAGTTCAACATACATACATGCAACGCACATAGGCACAGGCGGAACGCACAGAGTGAGTAGTGGAGGTGTGCGAAGGGGTGGAGGTGTGCGAAGGGGTGAAGGGTCACCTGACAGCAGCTGTCCGTGTAGGGTGGGGGGCCCGATCCCACTGAGCCCTACGCCCCCCCCCACACACCCGACCCCCGAGTCTCCCTGTGCCCCCAGGCCTCTCCGTGTGCGCGCCACCTCCTTGTCGATGGGTCTGCATGGGTAGGGCGGTCATCGGCATCATCAGCATTAGCACTCGTAGTTGCGTGGTCAACACCCTAATCAGCAGCAGCAGCACCACTCATCAGCAGCATCAGCACTCGTAGCTAGATGATCAGCATGCTTATCAGCAGCATTATCATAAGCAGCACCAGCATGAGTAGCTACATAATCAGCACCCTAATCAACCACAGGATCATCATTATCTGCAGCAGCAACATGACCGGTACCACCATTACCATCAATGGCACCACCACCAACGCCACTGCACTCCTCTCACCTGTGCCATCGGGATGAGTAGCGCCGATGGAACATCCTGCGGTTCGTTCTGAACATCTCCCCATCATCATCATCATCATCGTTGTCATCATCATCATCACCACCACCACCACCGCTGCCCCCATCTCCATCGCCTCCCCCTCCTGTATCGATGTCTCCATGGCCTCCTCCTCCATCACCGTCATCAGCGTCATCTTCGTGGGCATCATCGCCGCCATCGTTGAGGGCGTCCCAGCCACGCGCCCACGCCTCCTCATCACGCAGCTCCCCCGTGTAGAGGAAGTGAAGCGTCGTGAGGAACGCGTCGAGTGGGAACGAGGAGCCCAGCGACACCACGAGGCGGTGCCTGGGGGCGTGACGGGCAGAGGGAGAGGGACACGGACAGATGCGTGTGACATGGAGAGACATGTGAACACAGCGACATGGAGAGACATGGACACAAAGATATATGTGGACACAGGGACACGGAGAGATGTGTGGACACGGACAGACACGTGGACACAGGGACACGGAAAGACGTGGACACGGACAGACACGTGGACACGGAGAGATGTGGACACAAAGAGACATGTGGTCACAGGGACACGGAGAGATGTGTGGACATGAACAGACACGTGGATACAGGGACACACAGAGACGTGTGGACACAGAGATGATTTGCTGAATGAAGTGGTCTATGTGGAAATGTATCACAACCAAATGCTCTAAATGCATGTTTCTAAATGGAGGGAAAAACCGGAGGACCCAGAGAAAAATCCACGCGACCACCGGGAGAACATACAAATTCCAAATATACAGACGTGAGGGTCGGGATAGAACCCACGACCTCCTGCATACCAGGTGAGGTAGTTAACATCTCACCACCGTGGCACCCACAGGGACACGGGCGGTGTTGTAGTCCACTTGACGTTGGGTCAGTACTCAGCAACCGTGATGAAGGTTTTTTTGGGTTAGATCGCGTTAGTTTAAATGTATAAGGTTTGTCACAAAACGTGCCAATTAGTTACAACTTCAGCTCACCGGTGTGTTGGAGTAAATCCACAACATTTACAATTTGAGTACCGTGACATTTCACTGGTAATTACATCCAGCACCGTCGCGCTATTTTGCCAGAATTGTGACAAACTAATTGGGCTTTGTCGGGTTGTGGCGGGTTAACGAGACATTTGTATTTACACGATCTAACCCAAAAAAAGCATTTATTGTGAATAATATTGGTTGCGAAAGCCGACGCGTCAAACAAAATAAAGAGAACCCACTTTTACGCGACATCGCTCCTCCGTGTGACCACTGAGCGTTTTTCCTGATGGCACCGCTCACCGAGACTTTGCGCCAAGCTGCAGCTGCTGCTGTTGGTAGAAGCCGTTGTCCACCATCTCTTGGCGAACGTTCACAATGGCGCGGCTCCAGTGCGGGTCTCTCCCGCTGGGACGCGCATGGCTGCTGGCGCTGTCTGGGGGCGCGAGCGAACGCGGACCACACGTCCGTGGATAACCAATGTGCAGTATGTGTGTACACGTACCCGCGTGCGCACGTATACACGGGCATGTATGTACGTATGCAAATGCACAAACACACACAAACATACGCAATCGACACTTAACAACAACACGGTGGTTGTGCCAGGCTAGGTACACTTTGGTGGTAGGTGCACACGTGCATGCACACTGACAAACAATCCCCTGTATAGCCTGAACAGACTTTGGGGCAAGTTTTGTTAGCAAGCACCTATGAAGGACAGCATGGTACACGAGGAGGGGAGCGGCCAGCACCACGCCTGGCCGTGCACCCACCACATATACAACACACCCCCACCCACTCCACCTCACCCCATCCACCCCACCCACCCCTCCCTTCCACCCTAATACCTGCCATTCACCACGAAGTGACGGTGACGTCACCACAGCGCCTGTGCCAGACCAGGTGCACTTTGAGGCCACGTGAAGTGTCGAAGGCTCGCGTACAGGAGGTCTCAGGACAGACCCAGGTGCCATAGGTTGGCTGACTGAGATGACTGGTAGATGCACCAGCTGTGCCCCCTAATGTGCCAACCTGCTGCATTTTATCCGCCCGGGGCTTCGTTCATTGTTGTGAATGTCGCTCCTCTGCCCTCCGTAGTTGCTGGAAGCCAACTGCCTCTAACTGCCCAGTAGTGTCCTTCACGAGCCTCCTCAATAGAGGCCAATCTTGACATCGCTGGTACCAGACGTCAACAAGCCCACTTAGCTTCAATCCTCCCGTACCGCATCAGTCCATGTTGTGCCCAGTTAGCCCCCTATATGCGGCCAAACATGCGGTGGGTTGGCGGGCTATATGACCCAGGCAACACCGCTTTGTTTGCCGGAGTTTCCTGATGGGAATGTGTCGAGATCTTTCAAGGATTTGTGAGCTCCTCACACAAACCAGCCTGGTTAAAGGAAGGATTGTACATATGCCAGCCTGAATGTTTCTAACCGGCATAGATGTTCCATTAGAGGGGTCCACAATTCACAAGCGTAGAGAAGGGAGGGCATGACTGTGGCCAAAAAGACCCAAAGCTTCGTGCGGAGTGACAGACCAGGTAGCTTCCACACAGCATGTGCCCACCTTATCCCACCCACCCCATCTACCCCTCCCTCTCACCTCACCTCACCCACCCACTCCACCCTCCCTCCCCACTCCACCCTCCCAACCAACTCAGCCCAGCCCACCCGACCCACCCTTCCCACCCACGAAATCCAGCATACGCCACCCACCCACCATCCCACCCCACCCACCCTCCCACCCCACCCACACTCTCCAACGCCACACTCAAGCGCCCCATGGTTAACGGGCATTGTCGCCATGAGTTGATGAACCTTTGAGCTCGTTACCTCCATCCTGGGCATGCGCTCCATCTCCTCCTCCATCGTTGGTACCCTGGCAGCCATCTTGTGCCGCAATCTGATTAGCAAATTCGCTGGTGAAGAGCTCCTGAAACTTGGAGCAGGCCATGGCGAGGAAGACCTGCCGTGTGATGCTCGTGCACGACAAACACAACACGTGCTGCATTAACTCCACCCCCCACACGAACTTTGAAACAGTGGGGGCAATCAACGTGTGCTGTGTTCCCCCCTCTAAATTATACCCCTACAAGCACTCGGCTTGGTTGCTCAACATGGGTTCATACTTGAACTTGAAATTGTCTGAGATAAATTGTAAATCCGTGCATCATGGATCGATCTCTCTCCCGTCTTCCAGGGGCTCACTAGGGTGCGCTGCCTTGCAATGACCGGTCTGTTGAATTTGCTGGGGTTTCAATTAAGTTTGAAACCACGTGTATGTGAACACAAGCACACAATCACACACAAGGAATTGCACCACACTTACAGCTACGCAGACAAAGATCTCCCATAATAGCCTGAACACACTGTTGGGGCAAGTTCTGTAAGCGGAGTAGCACCTATAAAGGCCGGCACGGCACTCAAAGAGATGGGTGGTGGTCAGGATCATGCCCGGCCGCCTTTGTCCCCCTAGTGGCGATGGTTACAAATTGTACCAGGTACACATTTGAGGCCGAGTCGACCTAGAGGAGGCCGAGAACCAGTTCAGATAATTGTCACTGGTATTGACCGCGAGATGTTAACTACCTCGCCTTGTCTACAGGAGGTCGTTGGTTTGATCCCGACCCTGATGACTGCATATTTGGAATATGCATATTCTCCCCGTGATCGCGTACATTTTTCCCTCTACATATATAATCAAGATACATTTAGAGTGTTTGGCTGCTATACATTTCCACGTGATAAGCCACTTCGTCGAGCTAAAATGTTGTGGCCAGGTCACTTCTGAAATAGAGCTATACAGCTGAGTGGGCCATACCTGGTAGAATAAAAATAGGTTAGTTTTTAAAAATAGTTTAGAACTCGGGTCGGAGGGTTCACAGTGCAGCGCACTAACCATTGCGCCACCGCTCCCCGCACACAAGAGAGACACATTGAGCCACATGACAAGAGCATCAGCGACTGTCATCCGCCACTGAGCAGTGGGGGGGTGACATCACCTCAGCGCTTTGTGCCAAGCTAGGTGCACGCACGCACCTTGTGCGCATACACCCGCTCGCCTGCCACCTCGAACACCACGTCGGCGGCCCGCTCGCTCTCCACCATCGTGGCGGCGGTCTCCGTCAGCAGGAACGAGGGTAGGGACGATGCCGCTTCCGCCGCTAACGCAGAGGAGGAGGGCGAAGATGACGACGAGGTGACGGTGCCCGCGGCGCCGTTCGAGGGAGACAAAGACGGACGGGGGGAGAGGGCGGATGGCGTGGGGAGAGGAGGAGGAGGCTCCACATGGGGACGAGGCGGCTTTGGGGGGAGGAACGGCGCCTGTGAACAGAGAGATCGTCGGCATTGTTGTTGTTTGGATATCCTGCATCCCCTTGTAATATAGATTGGCCCGCAGAAGCAGATGTCACAGACATATCTCCGAGAGCCTTTCAAGTGACCCTCTGTTCAACACAGTCGGGGGCACAGCACGATACCACCAGTCCTGTCAGTTGGTCGTAAGGCAATTAAACCCATGTCTCGCTGCCCCCGTGTCTCTTCCCGTGTCCCCATGTCTCATGATCACACCCGAGTGTCCCCTCTGTCTCCGTATGGCCTGACATGGGTGTCTCCCCTGTGTCCCTGTGTGGCCTCACCTGGATGTCCCCACTGTGTCCCTGTATAACCTCACCTGGGTGTCACCCCCGTGTCCCCGTGTGGCCTCACCTGGATGTCCCCCACCCACGTGCCTCGGTGTGGCCTGTGGCCTCAACTAGGTGTCCCCACTGTGTCCCCGCGTGGCCTTACCTGGGTGTTCCCCCCACCTCGTGTCTCTGTGTGGTCTCACCTGGGTGTCCTCCCCCCGTGTCCCGATGTGGCCTCACCCGAGTGTCCCCCCCCCCCCCGTGTCCCCGTATGGCCTCACCTGGGTGTCCCCCTGTGGCCTCACCTGGGTGTCCCCCATGTGTCCCTCCCCGTATGGCCTCACCTGGGTGTCCCCCCCGTGTCCCCGTATGGTCTCACCTGGGCCCCCCCCCGTGTCCCTGTGTGTCCTCACCTGGGTGTCCCCCCGTGTCCCCGTGTGGCCTCACCTGGGTGTCCCCCCCCTGTGTGTACATGTGGCCTCACCTGAGTGTCCTCCCCCCCCACCCGTGTCCTCGTGTGGCCTCACCTGGGTCCCCCCGTGTGGCTTCACCTGCGTGTCCCCCGTGTCCCTGTGTAACCTCACCTGGGTGTCCGCCCCTGTGTCCCAACTGGGTTGTGCCCTTTGTGCCCCAATATGGTCCCCGAGTGGCCTCACCTGCAGAAGAGGAGGCCTCACTCGCTTGAGCTGAGTTTTCCAGAAGTGGAGACCTCGCCGAGCAAGAAGAGCAACTCGGATCTACACCATCAACACCACCAACACCACCAACACCATCATCACCACCACCATCACCACCACCAACATCACCACCACCAACATTACCAACATCAACATCACCACCACCAACATTACCAACACTACCACCAACATCACTATCACTACCACCAACATCACCATGTCTGGGCGAGTGTCTGGGTGAGCATGTGTACGAGTGGGCGAGTGTCTGGGTGAGTTTCTGGGTGAGCGTGTATATGAGGGAGTGAGTGTCTGGATGAGTGTCTGAATGAGCGTGTTGATAAGTGGGCGAGTGTCTGAATGAGCGTGTGTAAAAATGGGCGAGTGTCTGGGTGATCGTGTGCACGAGTGGGCAAGTGTCTAGGTGTGTGTCTGGATGAGCGTGTGCAGGAGTGGGCGAGTATCTGGGCAAGCACATGCACGAGTGGGTGAGTGTCTGGGTGAACGAGCGGTGCGCTCACCGCGTTGTCGAAGATGTCCCGCACCCCATGGTGCTGGGGGGCTCCGGCTCCCTCCTCCACCACACCCCCCGCGCCTCCCACGCCCCCCGCCATCACGCTGGCCTCATAGTAGGGTAGCCCAAAACTCCGTGCCACCTCCCTCCCCCGGTCCGGGGGGAGCAGGTCGCTCGGCTTCAGCGGCCTGTGTTGTGCGCACACAGGCACAAGGAGACAAAGCTCCCTGGTGTAGTCTCTATCAGGCTGTTAGGGCAAGTGCTGTTTGCGAACAGCAGCACCTACAGCAGGGGTCGGGAACCTATGGCTCGCGAGCCAGATGTGGCTCTTTTGATGATTGCATATGGCTCGCAGATAAAACAAAATATTCTCACTTGTTTTAATCCATCCATCGATTTTTCACTGCGCATGTCCTGTTCAGGGCTGCAGGAGCAATTGTCCATTATTTTAATTGGATGATACTGGCCTACGTTTGCCGTTGCTGGGTAAAACAGGTAAACGCCCCCTTTTGAATCAGTCTGAGACTGCGTCTGCTCGGTCATTAGCTCAAAGCTAACCCTTCGACGAAGAAGATGGCGAAAAGAAAAAAAGACGACGAGTATCGTACATTTCAGGACGAATGGACCGAAGAATTCGCCTTTGTGGAGAGAGCGGGTTCTGCGGTGTGTCTAATTTGCAATGACAAAATTACATCGTTGAAACGGTCGAATGTAAAGCGGCACTTCGACACGCGCCACGCTACCTTTGCATCAAAATACCCTGCGGGAGACAGCAGAAAGAAAGCGTGCCAAGAGCTTCTGAGCAGGGTGCAAGCTAGCCAGCAGCAACTCCGCGTATGGACCCGGCAAGGTGACTATAATTCGGCTAGCTTTGCTGGTTCTTTAGCAATAGTGAGGAACGGAAAACCATTCACAGATGGCGAGTATGCTAAAACGTTCATGCTGGATGTAGCCAATGAACTTTTTGATGATCTTCCGAACAAAGACAAGATAATCAAACGGATACAAGACATGCCTCTGTCGGCAAGAACTGTTCATGATCGTACCATCGTGATGGCAAACAAAGTGGAGGAAACGCAAGTGAAGGACATAAATGCAGCGCCGTTCTTTTCTCTGGCTTTGGATGAGTCAACAGACGTGAGCCATTTGTCGCAGTTCAGCGTGATTGCAAGATATGCTGTTGGTGACACACTGCGCGAAGAAAGTCTTGCTGTTCTGCCATTAAAAGGGTCCACAAGAGGTGAGTATTTATTCAAGTCTTTCATGGAGTTTGCTCAAGAAAAAAGTCTACCTATGGATAAACTTCTCTCAGTGTGTACTGATGGTGCTCCGTGTATGGTGGGGAAAAACAAAGGATTTGTGGCGCTTCTCCGTGAACATGAAAATAGACCCATCCTAAGTTTCCATTGCATTATACACCAGGAGGCACTTTGTGCTCAGATGTGTGACAGGCAGTTTGGCGAAGTGATGTCGCTGGTCATTCGTGTGATCAACTTTATTGTTGCCCGAGCCTTAAATGATCGCCAGTTTAAAACACTGCTGGATGAAGTTGTAAATAACTATCCTGGTCTGCTTTTGCACAGCAATGTGCGTTGGTTGTCAAGAGGGAAGGTGCTTAGCCGTTTTGCGGCTTGCCTGAACGAAATCCGGACTTTCCTTGAAATGAAAGGCGTCGGGCATCCTGAGCTAGCCGACACCGAGTGGCTCCTCAAGTTTTACTATCTCGTAGATCTGACTGAACATCTGAACCAGCTCAACGTGAAAATGCAAGGCATTGGAAATACAGTGTTATCCCTTCAACAAGCTGTATTTGCTTTTGAAAACAAGCTGGAGCTTTTCATCACGGATCTTGAAACAGGTCGTTTACTACATTTTGAAAAACTGAGCCAATTTAAAGATGCATGCACAGCAAGTGAGCCCATTCAAAACCTTGATCTCCACCAGCTAGCTGGCTGCACATCCAGTCTCCTACAGTCCTTCAAAGCACGCTTTGGAGAATTTCGTGAGCACACTCGTCTTTTTAAGTTCATCACCCATCCAAACGAGTGTTCACTGAACACAGCCGACCTGAATTACATCCCTGGTGTCTCCGTCAGAGATTTTGAAGCAGAAGTGGCTGACCTGAAGGCCTCAGACATGTGGGTGAATAAGTTCAAGTCACTGAATGAAGATTTGGAAAGAATCACACGACAGAAAGCGGAGTTGGCGAGCAAGCACATGTGGACAGAAATGAAAAAACTCCAACCCGAAGACCAGCTGATTCTCAAAACTTGGAACGCGCTTCCTGTCACATACCACACACTGCAGCGTGTGAGTATTGCTGTATTGACCATGTTTGGATCTACGTATGCATGTGAGCAGTCATTCTCACATCTTAAAAACATAAAGTCCAACCTACGATCACGTTTAACGGATGAAAGCCTCAACGCTTGCATGAAGCTTAACCTCACCAAGTACCAACCCGACTACAAAGACATCAGCAAATCCATGCAGCACCAGAAGTCGCATTAATGGTGAGTGTTATAACAACATTATTTAAAAGAATAAATTCAGAGGCTTATTATACTGACATTTAGTTGAATTCACTTTTAAAATATATTATATGGCTCTCACTGAAATAAATTTCCAAATTTTTTGCTTTCATGGCTCTCTTAGTCAAAAAGGTTCCCGACCCCTGACCTACAGTGAGGGAAAAAAAGTATTTGATCCTCTGCTGATTTTGTACGTTTGCCCACTGACAAAGAAATGATCAGTCTATAATGTTAATGGTAGGTTTATTTGAACAGTGAGAGACAGAATAACAACAAAATTCAGAAAACGCATGTCGAAAATTTTATAAATTGATTTGCATTTTAATGAGGGAAATAAGTATTTGACCTATCTGCAAAACATGACTTAGTACTTGGTGGCAAAACCCTTGTTGGCAATCACAGAGGTCAGACGTTTCTTGTAGTTGGCCACCAGGTTTGCACACATCTCAGGAGGGATTTTGTCCCACTCCTCTTTGCAGACCTTCTCCAAGTCATTAAGGTTTCGAGGCTGACGTTTGGCAACTCGAACCTTCAGCTCCCTCCACAGATTTTCTATGGGATTAAGGTCTGGAGACTGGCTAGGCCACTCCAGGACCTTAATGTGCTTCTTCTTGAGCCACTCCTTTGTTGCCTTGGCCGTGTGTTTTGGGTTACTGTCATGCTGGAATACCCATCCATGACCCATTTTCAATGCCCTGGCTGAGGGAAGGAGGTTCTCACCCAAGATTTGACGGTACATGGCCCCGTCCATCGTCCCTTTGATGCGGTGAAGTTGTCCTGTCCCCTTAGCAGAAAAACACCCCCAAAGCATAATGTTCCACCTCCATGTTTGACGGTGGGGATGGTGTTCTTGGGGTCATAGGCAGCATTCTTCCTCCTCCAAACACGGCGAGTTGAGTTGACGCCAAAGAGCTCCATTTTTTGTTTCATCTAACCACAACACTTTCACCCAGTTGTCCTCTGAATCATTCAGATGTTCAGTGGTAAACTTCAGACGGGCATGTATGTGCTTTCTTGCGGGCGCTGCAGGATTTCAGTCCTTCATGGCGTAGTGTGTTACCAATTGTTTTCTTGGTGACTATGGTCTCAGCTGCCTTGAGATCATTGACAAAATCTTCCCGTGTAGTTTTGGGCTGATTCCTCACCGTTCTCATGATCATTGAAACTCCACGTGGTGAGATCTTGCATGGAGCCCCAGGCCGAGGGAGATTGACAGTTCTTTTGTATTTCTTCCATTTGCGAATAATCACACCAAATGTTGTCACCTTCTCACCAAGCTGCTTGGCAATGGTCTTGTAGCCCATTCCAGCCTTGTGTAGGTCTACAATCTTGTCCCTGACATCCTTGGAGAGCTCTTTGGTCTTGGCCATGGTGGAGAGTTTGGAATCTGATTGATTGATTGCTTCTGTGGACAGGTGTCTTTTTTACAGGTAACAAGCTGAGATTAGGAGCACTCCCTTTAAGAGTGTGCTCCTAATCTCAGCTCGTTACCAGTATAAAAGACACCTGGGAGCCAGAAATCGTTCTGATTGAGAGGGGGTCAAATACTTATTTCCCTCATTAAAATGCAAATCAATTTATAACATTTTTGACATGCGTTTTCTGGATTTTTTTGTTGTTATTCTGTCTCTCACTGTTCAAATAAACCTACCATTAAATTATAGACTGATCATTTCTTTGTTAGTGGACAAACGTACAAAATCAGCAGGGGATCAAATACTTTTTTCCCTCGCTGTATGCAGGTCGGCACGGCACACAAGCATATGTATGTGTGTACTGGCAGACGGACATATAGACAATCAGGAAATACGGACAATTAGAGAGAGACAGAAGAAGAGATGGATGTAATAGAACAGGAATGTGCAAATTTTTTGACTCGCGGGCGACAATGGGTTCTATAATGTGACAGAGGGGCCGGGCCAGGAACAGATGGATGGAGTGTTTGTGCGAACTAATATAAATGACATGTAAAAATCATTACATGAAAGGATTTGGCCTTTAACAGGTAGCAAAGCATTTATTTGCAAGGCAATTTAACAAATTGCACGAACATGAACAATACAAAAACATGTCGTAACGTGACTGATCAAACATCATGAAAACATCTGAGCCCTGCGCCCAAACCAATTACCTCACTTGAACGTATTTATTATCTACATTAACAGGTTAGAGCAGCCACGCAGGCTGTGTGTCGGAGATTTGGCTCCAACCTCGCTGCAGCAACACATCATCACTTTCAGTTTCAGTGGGAACAGTGTTGTTGATCTCCCATTTTTGCCAGTGCATCCAAGTCTGGAGTTATTTTGGTTGTGGCAATTCTCAGGATAGATCTGAGGTGCTGATCTGTTAACTTTGATCTGTGACGGGCTTTGTAGGCGTTCATGACGCTGAATGTCTGCTCACACACATAAGTCGAGCCAAACAAAGTCAGTATCTTCTGTACAGTCTTCCCGAGGTTTGGAAACGTGGCTCTGTTAAGTGAAGCATAAAAGTCAGTCAGTTTAACAGAGTTGAACTTCTCCTTTAGGACGGAGTCAAACTGAAGATCTATCAGTTCCAACTGCAGCTCCTGTGGTGCTGTTTCAGAGTCTTGTGACAGGGGACAGGACACCAGCTGAAGTGACTGTTCAATGTTTTCGAAATCAGAGGACCTATGGCAGAATTCTCCGTGCAGGTCCTCAAGTGATTTGCTGTATTTTTTTGCATTTCGCGGTGCCTCTTCCTGCATGGCAAGTGTGGGGAAATGAGCGAAAGATTTGTTCGCAATTTGTCTGGAGAACAAAGTGAGCTTGGATTTGAAGGCTTTCACATGTTTGTACATGTCGTGAACAAACTGATCTTTCCCCTGCAATTTCACATTCAGCTCATTCATGTGTGAAAATATGTCCACAGCAAACGCAAAGTCACTAAGCCAGTTCTTGTCGCTTAGCTCAGGGAATTCGTCAGATTTCCCCATCAACTCCAAAAATGCGATGATGTCCTCTTTCAGCTACCACACTGGTTGTAACACTTTCCCCAAACTTAACCAGCGGACACGAGAGTGGTACAGCAAGTCCTGATGATCCGCATCAGTTTCCTCCAGGAACGTAATAAACTGACGGTGCTGAAGTCCCCTTGCTCGTATAAAGTTAATTTTTACGGCTGGATTCACGACATGATTAAGCGGCAATGCAGACTTACACAGGGATTCCTGATGGATGATGCAGTGAAGGAAAATAAGATCCTGGTCAGGGTTTTCCTCTTTCACTTTATTCTGGATTCTTTTCAGCAGCCCAATATTTTTTCCAGTTAAATTTGTCGATCCATCCGTTGTGACATTGATAAGTTTACTCCAAGGTAGCTTCATTCTTTCGATGACAGCAGACACCTTGTTAAACAAGTCCTCTCCCCGCGTTGTTCCTTTCAGGGATTCCATGGTCAAAAACTCCTCTGTTATCGCAAAACTGTCGTCAATGCCTCGGATAAAAATGAGGAGCTGAGCAGTGTTTTTTACGTCCGTACTTTCATCCAGTGCTAGTGAATACTCAAAGGAATCAGACTTTTTGTTTAATTGGCTGGCTATATTTTCATGAATCAGTTCCACATGGCGAGTCACAGTCCTGCGTGATAAACTGACTTTTTCAAATTTGCTTTTGATCTCCGGACACAAGATGTCTGCTGTCTGTACCATGCATTCTTTTACAAACTCGCCTTCAGAGAAAGGCTTGCTGGCCTTTGCTATTTCGAATGCCACAAAAAAACTTGCCTTGGTAGTTGACCCTTGAATCGCAGTTTGTCGGTGAAAAAAATGTTGCTGAGTCTGTAAATTAGCCGCCAACCTCTGAGCCGTAGCTGACTGTTCTTGCGTTGACTGCTTGCTAGCGTAGTTAGCATGATTCGTAGCAAAGTGACGGCTGATGTTGTACTCCTTGAAAACTGCGACAGTTTCTTGGCATATCAGGCATACAGCCTTCGATTGGACTTCAGTGAAAAAGTATTTTGTTGTCCACTCCGTGTTAAACACTCGGCACTCATTGTCCACTTTTCGTTTCCTTGATCTGCTCATTTTACAGAAGGGCTCACAGGGCAAAGTGAAAAAGTGAAGGGAGCACCGTATCTAACTCAGCAATGTAAACTAACCCTGAAAATGGCGGTGACGGCCCACAATGCATTGCGAGATCATGTGCCCTTTCGAGCCCTATACAACACACTCCTGGTCAAAGTGCGCCATCTAATGGGGAAATGGGGGCATTACAGGAGAAAGGTAAAATTTAATATAATAATATTTGGACAAGTTCGGCGGGACGGATTAAAAAGCCCAACGGGCCGTATACGGCCCGGGGGCCGTACTTTGCCCATGTCTGGAATAGAACATTTACAGGCAGGAGATGGGCACTCGGACAGAAGAAGGTACGGATGGATGCACAGATGGATGTCAAAACAGAGGGATGTAGAAGTGGACTCATTGACAGACATTAGAGCCAGAGCCACATTCCCATGTCCTGTGACTCCGTGTCCCCACCGCGTCCCCCTGGATCTCCCCCGCATCCCCATGTCTCCACCCCCGAATCTCCCCCCACGTGTTCCCCGTGTCGCTCCCGTGTACCCCCGTGTCCCCCCATGCCTTACTTGCAAAAGGGCCTGCGGGCGCGGTTGAGTGTGTCCAAGTGGGCGTAGCGCAGGTCGAGCTGCAGGCCCGCCAGCAGGATGGGCGTGCGGGGGCAGAACTGGCGCACCTCGGGTATCCACACGGAGCGCACGTGCGCCAGGGACACGGGGCTCGCGATGGAGAAGCACACCACCACCACGTCCGCCCTGCACGCCACACCGCGTTACACCACCACAACACTACCACCACATCTGCCCTTCACGCCAAACCACACCACATCACACCACCGCTACACCCGCCCTGCACACCACCCACGTCACTCCGCCACCACCACAACGTCCACCCTCCATGCCACACCACACCACATCACACCACCACCATGTCTGCCCTCCACGCCACACCACATCGCATCACCATATCCACCCCCGACATCATGTCACACCGCGTCACATCACCACAAGAACACAACCACCATGCCCACCCTCCATGCCACACCGCGTGACACCACACGGTGTCATGTCACACCACCCCATGTCACACCACTACAACACCCCCACACACCGCAGCACCACCAACCACAGCCTCAACATCATCACCACTATTGGTCGTGGTGCGCCATGTGCTGTACATGATGTGTAATGCTGTATGTGCTGTGGGTGCTGTATGTGATGTGTGTGCTGTATGTACTGCATGTGCTGTGTCATGCTGTATGTGCTGTGTCATGCTGTATGTGCTGTGCATGCTGCGCCTGCTGTACATGCTGTGTCATGCTGTGCTTGCTGCGATTGCTGCGATTGCTGCACGTGCTGCACGTGCTGTGCAAGCTGCACTAGCTGCGTGTGCTGTACGTGCTGTGTCATGCTGTATGTGCTGTGCATGCTGTGCCTGCTGCACGTGCTGTGCAAGCTGAACTAGCTGCGTGTGCTGTACGTGCTGTGTCATGCTGTACGTGCTGTGCCATGCTGCATGTGCTGCGTATGCTGCGCGAAGCTGTGTCTGCTATGTGTGCGGTGTGGTGCTCTGCGCTCACCGTCCATAAGCGAACTTCCTGTCCTTGTGGTGATCACCGAACGTGTCCCACAGTCGCAGGGACACGTTCACGTCGTCCACCATGCCCCGCGAGCGCTCCAGCACCTGCAGCCAGGGCAACCGCGGAACCGCGACAACTTCGGTAACCACGGACACCACAGTAATAGCCCACTCACCATCACCTCTCCTCACCTCCTCACCTCAGGAAACGCGTGGTAGTGGTATGTAGCCCACTCACAATCACCTCTCCTCATCTACTCACCTCAGGAAACGCACAGGAGTGGTCTATATCCCACTCATCATCACCTCTCCTTACCTCAGGAAACGTGTGATAGTGGTCTATATCCCACTCACCGTCACCTCTCCTCACCTCCTCACCTCAGGAAACGTATGGTAGTGGTCTATAGCTCACTCACCATCAGCTCTCCTCACCTCACCTCAGGAAACGTGTGGTAGTGGTCTATATCCCACTCACCGTCACCTCTCCTCACCTCCTCACCTCAGGACACGCGCGGTAGTGGTCTATAGCCCACACGGTGGGCACGTGCGTGCCGGCCTGGGCGTGTGTGGGGGGCGCCGAGGAGCAGGCCCGGGCACAGATCAGGCGAGTCTTCCCCACTGCGTTGTCCCCGACCACCACGCACTTAATCACCTCCACATTTGAACGCTCGTAGTCTGCGTGTACCTCCATCTACCACGGGGACAGCAATTGGGACAGGGGGCGAGGGAGATTGGGACAACGCAGTGGTGTTACACAGGTGTTTCCATACAAGCTGGAACCTCTGCCAAGGTGTCCCCATGTGTCTGGGTTTTTTCTAAGACAGAGGAGGGGAAATCTCTCCATTGCTACTGGGCTCTCCAGTGCAGTGAGTTGATGGTCTCAGCCCTGTCACCAATGACTGACATAGAGACCCAAAGCCTCACAGAGAGAACCATAGACTCACAGATTCCAAGAGACTCGAATAGGAACCCAGAGACTTGCATATGGATTTACAGATTTGCAGAGACCCATAAACTCACATTTTGACCCACACTATCATAAACAGAGTTGTTTATGGTTCTCAAATGTAGTGCGTTGATGGTCTGAGCCCACTCACACCATTGCCTGCACGAAAAAAACCCATCTCATTAAACCTGGTTTAACCAGATTTAACACCTAATTTGGCTTCCAAGTCTGATAATTAAAATCTTAGGTGGAGTGCAATGCGAAAAAAAATTCCTCTCGTATGCAGAGCAGGTGGGAAAGTGCTGCCCCCTACTACTGTGTGTGAATTCGAGGTTACAGAGGCAGTTCTGTCATATCACTTCCGTGAGCCGTTCTCTCTCACAAAAGGTTTCCAATGTGCTTTTTGCGAATATATTATTCGTCTCTCATGACGTGATGACAAAATAAAAGACAGTGTCTCCCAGGTGTGACTGGGGTCGGTGTGCTTCCCCTTCCACCTCACACACCAGCCCCCCCTCCCCCTGCCCTTGTAGATGTTGGTTGAGTCTGGTTCATTCCTGCTCAGAAAACCCAGGGCAGCCAGCCGTGAGGTGTACGTGCCAGAGATCACGGGTTCACACGTGTACACGCACTCACGTAAACACGTGTATACACATGTACACACTCACTTGTACATAAACTTGTGTACACGCAGTCACGTAAACACGTGTATACACGTAGACATGTAAACACGTAGACATGTAAACACGTGTACACACTCACTTGTACATACACTTATGTGTACAGGCAGTCACGTAAACACGTGTATACACATGTAAACATGCGTACACACTCACTTGTACACACGTGTACACGAACTCACTTGCGCACACACTGACGTGAACACACACACGTAAACACACCTGATCGAAATACGTGTACACAAACTCACGTAAACACGTGTACACACCCAAGTACAACACACTGCGCTGACGTAACCACCGCCCTTGTGCCAGCCGAGGTAAACAGAGGCCACGTGATGCGTGGAAGGCTCGCTGCTAGCAGGTAACGTGACAGACCCAGGTGCCATGGGTTGACTGGCTGAGATGACTGGCAGATGGACCACCTCTGTTCATATTCTGCATACATATATAAAGGCAAAGATCCCCCTTACAGCTCTAACAGACTGTTGGGGAAAGTGATTTTAGCAAGCACCTATGAAGGCCGGCACGGAACACGAGGCGGTCGGTGGCCAGCGTCACGTCCGACCGCATGTCTCTCTAGTTCCTGGAACTTATTTGAGGCTGAGTCGACCTAGGGGGAGAACCCAAGATAACATAATCGCCACTGGTGTTGGTCGTAAGCGGGAATGGAACTCGGGTCGCCTGGTTCATAGCACAGCGCGCTAACCACTACACCACCGCTCCCCACTGATACAAAGATCCCCCTTTGTAGTCTTAACAGACTGTTGGGGCAAGGGTTGTTAGCGAGCACTACACACGCATTCTCTAATACACAGTCCAATACACTCTCCAATACACACAGTCACGAACACACCCACACATTCCCTAACACACGCACGAACTCGCACGGGAGTTATCTACGCCAGGAACTCAACGTGAATCAAATTCCCAACTTCCCGTTTAACTGGAAAGTTCACATTGCTTCTTGTACGCACGCCTCCGCTCCTCCACACACGGGAGCGGCGGGGTGGTGGTGGTTAATGTTGCTTGTGATGGTCGTGGTCGTGATGTTGCTTGTGGTGATAGATGTGATGGTGATAGATGTGATGGTGCTTGTCATGGTGGTGATGACGACCCTCCATTAACAAGTACTCTATGAGGATTCCGTGAGACTTTCCGTTGTAAGAAAATTATTCGGCCAAACATTCCGATTGCAGGATCCTTCCATAAAAATAATCTTCAGACTCCGTGACGACGCCTTGACTGGACAAACACCTTAATTGGCCAAACATCCCAACGCTCGGAGGACCCCTCAATGAATGCGAGTCAGGCTTGGGGGCACGGGGGTGCTCGCCCAGGTAGCCACGCAGGATACGCGTCGCAATGCTCCCGTGTCACTACCGCCGTGTGTGCGTGCTGCCGGGCATGTTTCACCTCTAGAACAACCTCTTGTGCCACCACCACAGTGCTCCCCCCCCTGTGCTCTCCCTGCTTGAGTGACTCGCGAAAATCACATCCTTATCTGGGAGAACATCTCGCACATGAGCCGCGACGACAACACGCTGCAGAATACACGCATGTGGGTTTTTGTTTTACAAAGGTTCAGAGGGACCTCTCGGGTTCGCACGCCGAGTTTAACCTACCCGAGCGCAGGAATTCGGGGAATGTGCCGACGCAGGCGAGCGCCAAAAAAAAACGAGTCTGCAAGGTGTTGGCTACGGAGGGTGCAAAACTCACAAGCGCAGACGGAACGATAACCGACAGACTGAGGAGAGAAGACTCGTATGGAGCGATAGGGCCAGTCAGCGTCCACGACAGTAGTTGTACTTGCACAGACGATTCAAAGATAAAGTCGCTCGATCAATTCGGAGTGAGACCTCCGCTTTTGCCAATGTTGCCAAAACAGAGATGAGCACGGGCACAACTTTCCCAGGTCCCGGGACCTCTCCACCATCGCCCCCATGATTCATAGGGAGTTGAGGGGGTGGAGTGTTTGATGGCAGAGAGTTACCCAGGCCGGCGCTATCAATTTCAGTGGCACGCTCCACGTTCGACAAATTACCAGATCATCATCATCGTACTAGACATAGTTGACCAGAAGAGCGCCATCCTTTGACCGCACCGGGCATCGATCAGCCTCCCATTGTATATATATCTGATATGTCATTGGTGCAGCGATGGATCTCATATAAATCATATAGGATTGTGGTCAAAAACACATAAAATAATGTAGGGGACAGATAATAATGAAATGTGGCTACCGTCCAAGCAGCTTTACCCTTGCCTGCGCACCATGATGAAATTCCTTAATTATTGTGAACAAATATTTAGAAACCCCGAAAACACAGAAAAAAACAACCCAAAGCCTTGTACTCTTGAAATTCCCTACACCCCTTAGACGCAGCAGAGGCACAGAGTATACGGCATCTGTACAGGACCGCCACCCGTCTGAAAGCGCGCTGCGGCTCCGAAAGCCACTCACTGGCGTGCCTGGCCAAGGAGGCGATGTTGAATTATCCTTGCCACAGCATTTCCCGGCACACTGAAGAGGGATATGCCCTGGGAGTGGTTCCAATCATTGCGATTCCATGGACCACCATGGAATTATTCCAATCCTGCAGAAACCATCCTGTGGTCTCGGCAGTTGTAGTGACATCGTGTAGGGGGGCCTGCACACAATCGCCACCTTTCCTCTGCGGTTTGCTTGGGAGGTCATCTCAGCCCGGCGCTTTACTTGGTCCCTGGATTTTGGGATTCCTGTTCGCACCTTCTCGGCAGACGGCACGTCAGCTAACAACTCACGAGCGGTAGCTATTTCCTCCAGACTTTTGAGGCTCAGCAAACTATCCATTGTCTAGACCTACACCCCCACCTGCCATGTGATGTTGTTGTGGTTGGGGAGTCCTACACCCCCATTCTAAGGCCTCAAAATGTTTTTTTATACATTGACACACCCCACAAAAACAACCGCTGCTATTCGCACTGAGTGGCGGTGATGTCACAATGGTGATTGTGTCAGGCTCGGTGTACTTTTGAGGCCAGGTGAAGTGCGAAAGGCTCGCTGGCAAGGAGGTCACGGGACAGATCCAGAAGTTATGGGGTTGACCGACTGAGGTGACTAACAGATGCACCGCCTGTGCCCCCTACTGTGCCAACTTGCTGCGTTTTAGCAACCTGACGCTCTGCCCTCCGCTGTTGTTGGAGCGCGGACTGCTTCCAACAGCTCAGTAGCGTCCTACACGAGACTCCGTGTAACAGTCAGTGGCAAGTCCAATCACCCTCCCCGTACGACATCAGCTCGTCTCCTCTCTACCCCGTGTCATGCCCTTTTAGCTGAACCAGAAGCTATGTAGACAAAACAGAACATTATTGGCAATAATGTGGCTGAGCGCGGGCTCCGTGACACAGCCAACGCAGCCTCGCCTGCCAAAGGTTGCTCGCTGGTTGGACTGTGTCCAGATCTTCCAGTGATCTGTGAGCTCCTCACACAATCCAATCCAGTCTGGTTAAACCCAGGACGGATCGTCGGCAGGGCAGCCTGAATGTTTCAAACCCGCGCAGATGTTCTTTCAGAGGGGTCCATGTTTCGCAAGCGAGAGAAAGGAGGGTATAACTGTGGCCGAGAAAAACGTGGAGCTTTGTTGGGTATGTATGGTGCGGAAGAAGTTCAACATGCATACATGCAAGAGGTCAGGTAGTGTCCACGCGCATAAATACCCACAAGACTGATAAGATACACAGAGGTAATGCATAACCCTAAGATCCTCATGTAGCCTACACAGACTGTTGAAACAAGCGCTGTTAGCGAGCACCTATGAAGGCCGGCACGGCACATCCATGAGGGGGTGCTGCGGCCAGCAACACGCCCGGCCGCCTTTATCTCTCCATAGCGGATGCGTTACACACCGCACAAGGTACTCATTAACACATACAATACACGCACTCATTAAATCCAATCCCTCGCTCACCGGTGGTCAGTCGCCCCCTTATCGCTCTTCCATCGCTACTACCATGGACACGGTTCCCGTGAACTTCACTCATTGATTCGTCCACCGGTGTCGAGGACTCGGTCTACCGGATAACCGTTTCGTGTCATCCACCAGTGTTCAACGACCACGCTGCAGGTCACAACAATACACTCACCCAATCACTCGCTCACCCACCAACCCACACAACCACCACCACGCTGCAGGTCACAACACACTCACCCAATCACTCACACAACTACCACGCTGCAGGTCACAACAACGCACTCACCCAATCACTCACTCACCCAATCACTCACTCACACAACTACCACGCTGCAGGTTACAATACACTCATCCACCTACCCGCTCACCTGTGTGGAGCTGCAGAGCTCGTATTCCGGGTTCTACTCCGATACGGTGCCAGGTGCGTGCGGAGCAACTGATCGCGGGCCACCGCCTCGCTGCCTCCTGATTGGCTGGCGTGCTCACCGAGGGGCGGTGCTGACAGCGAGTAGGCGGGGTAATAAATCTCCATTTCCATTGGCTGGGATGAAGGGCAGGACTTAAACGGAGGTTGAGCATAATGCATCCATTCTGGTTGGTTAACGACATAGAGAAGGCGGGGCTTACAAGTAGGGAGTCTAAATTCTCAATTTAGATTGGCTTAAAGTAGCAAAGGGGCGGGACCTACATCAAGTGGGCGAAGCGTTGAGTGTTAAATTGTCAAATCAATTCGCAGCGTTTTTAGCGATCTAAATTGATTAACAAAGCAAACTCAACACATTCGTCAATGACAACACCGTGTGTGTGTAGCCTTGAAAGGAAAACAATATATTAACAGGAGATGTTTGGAGCAATGGCCCTGCTAAATTGCATGTATCTTTATGGCATATACGTGCTTTGAAAAAGGACCATTGCCCGAAACGTCGCCTTGTGTATCTTTCCTTTTAAGGCCACACACACAGTGTTGTTATTGACGACTGCGTTGAGTTTGCTGTTGCTACTTGTGTACCACTGCCAATGCAGCAGCACAACTTCATTCAGTATAAGTGATCCGTGCATTAATCCGTGCATTGTCCGACCACGTCACCGTCATCGCGCGACGGTTACGTCACTGCAGTGACGTCATCGCGCGACGGTTACGTCACTCCAGTGACGCCGAACACATAATTTAGCACGGTTATCTACGTACGGTGCGAAAGAATTTTGACATACAATACATACATTATGTCGATTTCTCTGCTGTCGCCCCCTCGGTGTGCAACATCGAATGCACTCTAACTTTTAGGTAACATCTAAAGGCCTCATGGGACCTCCTTTGCCAGTACCAAAATGTAATAATAGGTTTCTCCCCTTTTTTTCTGGCAACAAAACAGGTGTTAATATGTTAAAACACCAAACTGAAACCTTTTACAAGGAATAATGTCTGCATTAACTGCGATGCTTATGGTCAGAATGCAAACAAAAAACATACTCTGATAATATATCCATTCTCCTTGAAACTGATTGGTCCACACCAGAGATAGCTTTCTTTTGAGCCTCGCCTCAAACTGTGTTAGACCAGAGAACGTGAAAAGGCGTACAGCCCAAAGACAATACACTATCAGACTAATGCGAGCTCGGGGTGAGCATCTACATCATGGGACCTCCCCTTTGCCAGTACCAAAGTATGAGAATAGGGTTTCTCCTTTTTTCAGAGTATGTTTTTTGTTTGGCTCCTGACCATACGGCTCCTGACCATGCGGCTGTGGCAGTGGAGGGGCTCCAATATTTTGTTTGCGTCCCCCAGTCTGTTAAGTGAGGGGCAGTAGTCACAATCAAAGTGACTACGGTGCCACAAGGACAGCACTGCTTACAGATAAGAGGGCCAATTTAAAGTCAGGCAGAAATCAGAATTACATGAGACCCCCTAGCAGGCTCGCAGAGATTGAGCTGTGATTAAAAAAAAACGGGTTTCTCAAGTGCATGGTCTCAGCCCGGTCACCAATGACTGCACAAAAAAGCTGTCACTTAAAAATGTGATCCTGCACATAAATTGGCAAAATTCCAAATATTGGTGTGACTGCAGTGCGACCAACATCTCTCTCTCTGTAGCAGAGCGGATGGGAAAGTGCTACCCTCTACTATGTGAGGACCAGAGGTCACTTGAACAGATTTCAAGAGGTAGTTCTGTGATATTCGCTTTCGATTAGATTGTTCGTTTCAAAGCGCGATGCTGATGGATACCATTGGGGGAAAAGGCCAAAATATATAAATCAGCACAGAATACGCAAAGATCTTACGGTGTATGCTGTTCACATGCAAGATTTTATTTATTAAAATTATAATTTTAAGGGAAAATGTACTTTCCATTCTCACCCAGATCGATTGCCTTCTAGTAACTGCTTTTAAATTGCAAACATTTTCCCCGTGGCGTTAAGTTTGATGCTCACGGTGTTTGTAAATTAAATAATAATAGCCTGGTTGGGCACTGGAACAAGTGTCTCGGATAGTTTGAGGACCTTGACTTAAAGCTTTCGTTACTGCAGGAATTCATATTATTGGGTCTTTCGGTAAAGTCATGTAGATAGGTTCAAAGCAAATAAAAAAATAACAAAAAACAACATTTCGATCGCAACACAAGTGTTCGTCATCATGAAGAAAAAAGAGGGGGACAGTTGCTGAGGCAGACTGTTTTAAAGGTTTAAAAAATGGGTGTAGCCCAAGGGTCATAAATGAAGTGGGCGGGGCTAGTGATGATAACGTGAGAAATTAGCATGTAAATGAATGCACATTCAGACAACACAATCCGTAAAGCTATCACCCCAACCGTTGGGAAAGAACCAACTGAGGACCCAATCAAAACCATCACCTTGCCATACATAGCAGGGGTCACCAAAAAGATCTCCAAAATCATGAGCAAATTCAAGATCCAGGTTCGATTTAACACAGTACATAAAATTCGTGATCTGATCCCATCTGTGAAGGATGTGATCCCTGACATGCAATACCCCGGCGTCTACAAACTAAGCTGTGTCTGTGGCAGTAGTTACAATGGGGAAACTAAGCAACATGTCTCGGACCTTGTTCGTGAACATAAGGCAGATTTGCAACACGGTAGGACCAATACCTCGGCTGTTGCTGATCATTGTTTTAATGTGGTTGGCTCACACGAAATAGATTTCTCTAAGACGAAGGTACTTTGCAAACCCACTGGCTATCAACAAAGATTCGTTCATGAAGCCATCCACATATACAGACACAGACAAAACTTCAATCGAGAAGATGGGTATAAACTGAGCAATCATTGGAAGGATGTTATCAACCAGTTTAAGTCGTAACTGGCTGTGATGTTCCCATCCTACTACTTTCCGATGTTAGTTATTTTCGGCTCTCTGACTTTACATTAACAGCTTAACTTTCCCATACTAAAACAGCCACCTCGCTCGACGTTGCTGCTCTGTGATCCGCCATTAACATGCTAATCTCTCACATTAACATCGCCACCTCCGTGCACACGTGGAGGCCGCTCTCCGATCTTACATTAACATGCTAATCTCTCACATTAACATAGCCACTTCCGTGCCCTCGTCGTGGAGGTCGCCCTCTGATCTTACTTTAACATGCTAATTTCTGACATTAACATCACTAGCCCTGCCTACTTCGTTTATGATCCTTGGGCTACACCCATTTTAACCCTTTAAAACAGTCTGCCTCAGCAGCTGTCCCTCTCTTTTTGTCTTCCTGATGACGAACGCTTGTGTTGCGATCGAAACGTCATAGCTTTTTGTTATTTTTTGTTATTTTCTTTGAACCTATTTACGTGATTTTACCGAAAGACCCAAGAATATAGTTTGAGGACCATTAATTCGATTTCAAGTTTAACATTGTTATTTTAATTATTATTTTTAAGAGTATATATGTATTGGTTTATTGTGATTCTTAAATATGTTGTTAGTTTTAATGTTAAGTTAGTAATAATTAGTCTGCGCTCTCCAGTTGCCTGTGTGAAAAGTGGGCTAGGTTTTTGCCCAATCCTGGCCAACCAGCTCAACAAACTTAACAAAATTAATGTGTAATAATGTGTAAAAATTAGTCTGCGCTTTCCAGTTGCCTGTGTGAAAAGTGGGCTAGGTTTTTGCCCAATCCTGGCCAACCAGCTCAACAAACTTAACAAAATGAATGTGTAGCTACTTAATAGTACCCGCAATGGATATTATTATTCTTTGATCGGAAACAAGGAAGCAAAAATCATGCACATGCAGGGATTCTGTAAGGCTTCCCAACACGGGCTTGTCCGGTGTTTGAAGAGTGACATGGCAACGGTCGTCCCTCCCACCAAGCGCACAGGAAGCAGAACGCCCTGCGAGTCCCGTCGAGCGCTTGTTTATATTTCCAAATTTTAGGCAAATTTTTTTATCAATTTGGCCGTTTTTTTTTCTCACGAGAGCCTCAAGTCCCTCATAGTGACACAAGTGTATGCTACATTTTGGTTCTTATCGGATCATCTTTGCGAGAGCTAGAGCGTCTTCTCGTTATGGATAGACAGAGGCAATGTATAAAGGCTTCACTACTACCCCTGGTCGGAAAGTGTTACTGAACGAGCACCAAATAATTTACGGGGTTCTATCTTCCTTGCTTGCAATAGTCTTGCTCCAGTTGCCCGCTTGATCAACACGATTACCAGAATCAGATTAATCAACTGAGACGAGTCTCGGCAACCAGTGGAATTATTCACTGTAACCATCATTTACAGGAGCTAATCTTCAGGCAGCTCCACATTTCTCAGCCATTGTCTCCTTAGCGCCGTGCTGCACGCTCAGGTCTCCGACACCTTCACTCTCCCCCACCGCCACTGTCCCCCTCAACCCCTGGAATTGCTTCTGTGAGATCACTTCCTTTATCTGCGCCATCACTTCCTGTATCTGTGACATCACTTCCTTTACCTGCACCATCGCTTACTGTATCTCTGACATCACTTCTTTGATCCGTACCAGCGCTTCCTAAATCTCCGACATCACTTCCTGCACATCGGACATGGCTTCCTGTTCTGCCACCAGCATCGCTTCCGGCTTCACAACGGACGTCACCTTCCTGTTCTACGTCAGCATCGTCACCGTCATCATCATCACCGTCGGCATCTTCGCCACCACCCTCCTGGTTGGTGTCCTTGCTGCCCGAATTCGCCCGGCCACCACCTTTGTCACCGGGATTTGCATTTGCACCGTCTCCATCTGAATTGATGCCGCTGCTCTTCCTGCACGCGTCGCGTCGCAGCGCATCGAGGCAGCGGGACAGGCGCGACGCGAAGGCGCCCACGTCTGCCTGCGTCATGCCGATGGCTGCAGCGGCGTTGAGGTAGGCGACGGGGTAGCAAGGCGAGTGCGACATGAAGCCGCGGAACTCGCGCCCGCCAACCGTCTGCGTCACCCCGCCCAGCGGGACCACCCTAAGGGGAGTTGAGGGGGGGGGGGTTTGGGGACACGATGAGGGGGACGGAATGCACCCGGAGGCACATGGGGACACATGGCAACGGACAAATCTCAGGATGCATGGGGAGAGACACGAGATACATTGGGATAAACACACACACACAAGACACATGGATTTAACACTTAGGCTTTCAAGACCAATATTATCCATAATATGTGTGATGTACATACATTATGTATATTCTTTGGTTATTTCGGTAATCTCACGTAGATAGAAAAATAAGAATAAAAATAAAGTGAATAAAAATGTAAATGATAAAAATAAAATAAAAACATTAATGTAGACTGTAGCCTGGTTCTTAATCGGAGTGAGTGTACTGGCAGTCTATAATGTAGACTGTAGCCTGGTTATTAAGTTTTGTGAGTGTGTAGTGTGTCAACTGAAGTGCACACACTGTTGTAGGAGGCAACGTATTTATTAAATATTTTACTGTACACCAGTTCTGTTTCTAAGCATGGCTAACTTATCCCAGGCTTCTGCTCTCTATGTGCGTGCGTGTTGGTCGTTGGTTCCCCGAGGTGAGCCCCGAAAGCTCCCCTCGATCCCCCTTTATCCCTTGGCCCCCCCCGGGCCCCCCGCTCCTTGGCTGGATCAAGTCGTGTCCCTGCTTCCGGCTACATGTCCTTTCTTCCGGCCACGTGTCCCTCTTTCCTCCAATTGAGACCCACTTCCGGTCACGTGCCCCTAGCTCGTCCCATCGCGCACCGCTTCCAGTCACGTGGCCCCAGCTCGTCCAATCGAGGAACGCTTCCGGTCACGTGACTTGTGTAACCCACAGAGGCATCCGACTGTGTCTCTACAAGTGTACTGGCAGTCTATAGTGTAGACTGTAGTAATGGTTATTAAGCTGGGTGAGTATACTGGCAGTTTATAATGTAGACTGTAGCCTGGTTTTTAACCTCGGTGAGCATACTGGCAGTCTATAATGTAGACTGTAGCCTGGTTCTTAACATCGGTGAGTGTACTGGCAGTCTATAATGTAGACTGTAGCCTGGTTTTTAAGCTTGGTAAGTACATTGGCGTTCTATAATTATTGACTGCCAGTATGCTCACTCAGGTTAAGAACCAGGCTACAGTCTACATTATTGACTGCCAGTACACTTACTCAGTTTTATAACCAATGCTACAGTCTACATTATAGAATGCCAATACGCTCACCAAGCTTAAAAACCAGGCTACAGTCTACATTATAGACTGCCAGTACACTCACCGAGGTTAAAAGCCAGGCTACAGTCTACATTATAGACTGCCAGTGCTCACCGAGGTTCAGAACCAGGCTACAGTCTACATTATAGACTGCCAGTACACTCACTGCCGATTAAGAACCAGGCTACATTCTACATTAATGTTTTTAAAATTATTTATCTTTAATTTTTTTCATTATCATTTTTATTCACTTTATTTTTAGTATTACTTTTCTATATACGCGACTTTACCAAAAGAACCAAAGAATATTAATTCCTGCAGTCACGAAAATGTTTTAAGTCAAAATGTATACATTATGTATATTGATTGTATTATCTATGAATAACCCAACTGATAACATTATGTAACAAAATTTTTGTTCCTGGGTAGGAAGTGTTATTTCCTAATTGCTTATGCCTAAAAAGTATAGAAAATGACTATTATTACCCACAAACTTTGCTTTTGTGACCAGGACAATAATATTCTGAAATGGACCTATTTTCAATGAGAAAACGGGCTAATTTGTGTTTTTTCGTTCACATAAAGTCAGAAAACAACAACATATAAATCAAAATGAACATGTATTTATACTAAAGTAATGAAAAAATTACAACAAAAAATTTAGAAGTGAGTAGCTTTTCAAAATTTACGATTATACTGCAAATCACTTTCACGAATCAGCCCCCAAATGAAGTCTCCCATCATGTTCTCGTCATACTGTCCTTGGTAGTGGCGCTCAAAGTCCAGTATATCCTGGTGGGAGCGCTCGCCTTGCTCCTCCGAGTATGCTCACATGTTCTCCTTGAATTTATCAACATGAGCATCAAGGATATGGACTTTGAGGGACATCCTACAGCCCATTGTGCCGTAGTTCTTCACCAGAGTCTCAACCAGCTCCACGTAGTTTTCGACCTTGTGATTGCCCAGGAAGCCACGAACCACTGCGACAAAGCTGTCCCAAGCCGCTTTCTCCTTACTAGTGAGCTTCTTGGGGAATTTATTGCACTCCAGGATCTTCTTTATCTGTGGTCCGACGAAGACACCGACTTTGACCTTTGCCTCAGACAGCTTAGGGAAGAAGTCTTGAAGGTACTTGAAGGCTGCCTACTCCTTATCTATAGCTCTGACAAATTGTTTTATAAGGCCCAATCTGATGTGCAGTGGTGGCATCAGCACCTTCCGTGGGTCCACCAGTGGCTCCCACTTGACGTTGTTCCTCCCCACAGAGAACTCGGTCCGCTTTGGCCAGTCTCTGCCTGTGGGAGTGCAACTTGGTGTCCCTACTGTCCAAAAGGCAAAGAAAGCAGGGAAACTTGGTAAAACCGCCTTGGATACCCATCAGGAATGCTACCATTTTGAAGTCTCCCATGACCTCCCAGCCATACTCATCATACTTCAAGGCATCCAGCAAGGTCTTGATGCTTTTGTAATTCTCTTTGAGGTGCACCGAGTGAGCCAGGGGAAGAGACGGGTACTTGTTACCATTATGGCGTAGCACGGCTTTGAGGCTCCTGGATGAGCTGTTAATGAAGAAGCGCCACTCATTCTGGTTACAGGCGATTCCGATTGCCTCGAACAGACTGCTTACATTGCGGCAGAAGCAGAGCCAATCTTGAAGTGTGAAGATGCTGCAAAAAGGTTGATGCTTCCTCTGATCTGCGACATGCACACTTTCATCTAACAAGTTCAACTGCCTTGATCTCAAAAGCTCGGCATTGGACTTGGTGAGACCAAGATCTCTGATCAAGTCGTTGAGGTCTTTTTGGTTGGAGTAGTATGGGTTTTTTTCCTCAGCTCCACCTCTGAAATTGTCATCTGGATCTACAATGTCTTCCTCGCTCTCTGGCTTGCTGCTCTCTTCCAAAGACGGCTGCTCTCTCTCCGGAGGAGTGGATACAGGGAACTCATGGCAGTGTGGCACCGGGGCGATGGATGAAGGAAGGTCCGGATACATGATAGCAGGTGCATTCTTGCCAGTCCGACGTTTGGAAGGGTCCACCATGCAGAAGTAGTGATTGCTTGAGTTGTCAGAGGGTTCCCGCACAATTCTTGGGATAGCAAACTTCATGGCTCTCTTTTCCCCTCTGTACCATCCTACAAAAATAAGTTTTTTTCCATTGCTCGCAAGTGAAATGAGGTGCCCCAGGGTTTGTCTTGATCCCCAACAGGCATGCCGAAATATGCCTTGTAGGCCTTACACATCTTAGCAGATGCTTCCACAGAGTACTTTTTCGCTCTTATCTTGATAAATTGGCCACAGACATAGCAAAATGCGTCTGCCATATGCTTGCAGCCTCTTGATGGCATCCCAGATATGTATCCACTAAGGCAGTTGGAACTAAACTGAACTGGTGGGCTTAAGGCCCCTGTATTTATACTACTATTTATATTACTGGAAAGTTCTAGAATGTTCGAGAATTTACTCCAAGTTTACTCAGCACTGAATCTATCTGGAATGTTCTGGAAAATAGGTAAATTTCAAAATATCAATGTCCGGGTCACAAAAGCAAAGTATGTGGGGAATAATAGCCATTTTCTGTACTTTTGAGGCATAAGCAATTAGGAAATATCACTTACTACCCAGGAACAAAAAATAAATTGTTACACAGTGTAATAGACATCCATTATAATTTATATTTAACCCCCCCTCTGGTATTGGCACCTGATTGGCTCACAAGTGACGACATAACATTTATCCCTCAATTTACGACCGAAACAGGAGGATTTTTCCACATCTCTGGCTGTCGCCTAATGATGCTGGTTGTTGTAATTACCGGTTAAAAGTCATAATCGAATTGTAAATGTTGTGGGATTACTCTCCAACACATCGGTGTGCTCAACTTGTAACGAATTGGCATGTTTTGTTCATGTGACAAACCTTACTAATTGGCTGCATTGGGTGATGGCAGTTTAACAACACATTTATATTTACGTGATCTAACCCAAAAAACCTGTTATGGAAGACACATGGAGACATAAGGTACACATACACAGGGACACCAGGTACATGGCGACAACAAGACGCGTGGATATGAGATACTTCTGGACATGGGGACAGAATGCACGCGGAGACACACGGGGATGGACAGATACGCACAGGAACCCACGGGGACACGAGACACACGAGGGAAATTCATCGGCACGCAGCCAAAGCATCGCGTCTAACGAACCGGAGTCGATGAATCGATATAGGAAACTGCACCAACCTAGCGCCGGACACTTGTCTTGTGAACAGCATGGAGCCCAGCTGTGTCACAACGGCTGGAGGCAGGGAGCTCATGGACATCGCTATACACACAGACGGACACACACGGATACATATGGTCAAAAAGGTATACACACGAGCACAGATAGATACACTGGTACACATGGAGACACAGACGTATACATGGTTACACGTGTTGGGGAACCATGGTGCTCCTGCCCCACGCAGACCTTAATAGATGCTCTCTAACAACACTCACCCCCTACTGCCTATACAGGATGCAAAAGAGATCTTTGTATTTCTTTGTGCGTGTGCATGTGTGTACATATGTGTGTACCTGTGCACGTACACTCGTGTATGAATATCCATGTGTTCGTACTTGCGTATATGCACATCCATGTATCCATGCGTTGCCCGTGTGTGTGTACCAATGTTTAATATTATCACTGGAGAGACAAAGGTGGCTGGGCATGGAGCTGGCCACCCACCCCCTCATGTGTCGTGTCCGCCTTCACAGGTGCTACTCGCTAACAGCACTTTCCCCAACAGGGGATCTCTGTCTTGGTCCCAGTGTGTGCGTACCCAGGGATATGGGGTTATGCGGTGTGTGTAGCAGCTTTTCTCCGTTCTCCAGGGCCAGCACTTTCATCTTGTTCTCCAGGTATGTGTACATTGCCTATACACGGACACACACACATGTGTATATCTCCTACACATAGACATTGAGATTTATGGGTGCAAAATTTAACACGTAGGCTTTCGCGACCAATATCATCCATAATAGAGGCTTTTGGGTGAGATCGCGTAAATATATGTGTCGTTAAAAGAACATCAGAGAAATATTAAATTCTCCCAAATGCAACTGTCAGCAGTAGCAGAACACGCGTGCCTACAAGGACACAAAATTGATTTTGATAATGTTGAAGTTTTGTGCAAAACTAGCTACTACTGGCCAAGACTAATTAGATAATCTATCGAAATTGAAAGAAATAAAAATAACTTTAACCGTTCAGATAGCTACCGTCTTAGTGCTGTGTGGAAGCGAATAATCAAATAATACATTATTAAAATGCATGCTGACAAAGGGCAGCATACTTCAATAGGGATTACCGTTGGTAGGGCTATTTTAATAAACAATAGACAGGAAGGACAAGTTCAAAGGGCTCTCATAATGCACATGCATAATGCACGTTCCCTCAGTAATCTCCCCCCCCCCCCCACATTGTGCAAGAGCGCAGAGGAATGGTCAACACATCTACGCCTCTATATAAGGAATGAAACAGTAAGACTTCTCCACAAATCTGGTTGTCGCCTGATGAAGCTAGTTGTAATTACTGGCGAAACGTCGTACAAAGTTTGTAAATGTTGTGGCTTGGCTCTGCAACACACCGGTGTGCTGTACTGGTGACAAATTGGCATGTTCTGTTTACGTGACAACCCTTACTAGTTGGCTGTGTCGGGTGGTGGCGGGTTTTAACGACACATTTATATGTTTACGCGATCTAACCCAAAAACCTCGATTATGTGTGCTATATTGTTCGTTTAAATCTGTGCACAACCAATCCCTACGTGTGCGACTTGATGCACGCACGGGAAGTCCGAGCATCAAACCGCGCAAGAACCCGCAGACCTGAGTTAAATTCCTGGCCACGGCTAACATCAGTAGCAAGAGATAAATCTGAACCAGTCCTGGGGTTGGTGGGCACCACCTCCCTCTCTCCCATCCCCTTCCCCACCGCGCTTCACCAGCCCGCACTGACCAGCGTGGTGAAGTACGGTCAAACAACCCCCGCGGCCGATATGGTGCGGCGAGGCTTTCATCCGGCAGCGGGGCGCACCTTGCGCTCCGCGAGGAGGCGTTTGTATCCACGCTGGCCCAGAGACAGCATGGTCATGAGGAAATCCATCGACGGGGCAGCAGACGCACGGCCTGATGAGAAGAAACAAAGACGCGTGCAGTGTGCAGCGTGTAACGGACATCATTTGCATGTGAATTAAGTTCAATTGGTAAACGCGGAAGACGCAGTATGGTGGGTCATGAAGATTGAAATTGCTACATCTTTGACTCTAGAGTTATCGATTGAAGTAACGGAACAGAGCAGACGAGACAGGCAGTCAGATCGTGAACAGCAAACACGATGCACGCATCGATTGCACGATTCGATGTGTGCATCATGAGCAAAGGAATCTATAGTCGTTTAATATCAACCAATCATATAACATGTTAATGTTAAAACATTTATGCAGCATCATGATTAGCATGGTTGGCTACGTACAGTGTGCAAAATAATTCCAAAATACATACAAATGTAGTGACTGTGAATGCCACTGTGTGGTGCTGGCCTTCCGATGCCACGGCGGATAATATGTTGTCATTATGTGCAGCCCGGTTATTGGGCATAGTACCAGCCCTAGCGGGACTTGGGTGAGCGCTCGCTAGCACGGAGGCACCACGTACAGTGTGCGGTGCGGGCTCCCGGTGAGGAGCAAGAGAAAGTGTCAGCCAGCCAGGCTTACGTTCGGGCATGATACGCTGGTTGACCTGCCAACACGTGACCGAACGATATTGGAGGGGGGCCACCGGTGGACGGGGGCCGCTGGGTGGTTACGTGGTATAGAGGAGCTCTCGGGAGCCTTCAGGAAAGGGCCAGAGAGATCAAGAAGGTGGGCGGGGCAAGAGGCGGAGCCAGCCCGGGCCGATATAACGGTGGCCCCGTGTGGGGCTCGGGCTTCTTGACTGTTGGTGAGTGTAGATCCACGTCGGGTTGAAGAAGCCTCTAGCCACGCGGTTCGGGACCCAGCTCGTGGTCTGGACCGGGATAGTGGGACCGTGTCTAGTTCTGCCGTAGCGTGGTTAGATGGGCGTTCAACACCCGAGTGTAGGTTACGTTATGTTGTGTTGAGTTGAAGTAATAAATAGCGTCTGCGACTCAGTTAGACTCACTGCACAAAGACAAAAATCTCCTGTATAGTCTTAACACACTGTTGGGGAAAATGCTGTGAGTAGCAGCTATGAAGGCCGGCATAGCACACGAGGGGGTAGGTGGCCAGCACCACGCCTGGCTGCCTTTGTCTTCCTAGTGGCGAATTTTTACACACCACACCAGGTATTTATTTGAGGTTGAGTCAACCTACGGGAGGCCCAGGACCAGTATAAATAATGGTTTTAGCAGTGAGCAGGAATCGAACTCAGGTTGCTGGGTTCGAAGCGCAGAGCGATAACCTCAACACGACCGGTCCCCATACACACTCACACACATTCACTCACTCACATACACACACTCACCCACTCACTCACTCACAAAAACAACAAAGATCCCTCATATAGCCTTACCAGATTTTGGGGCAGGTGCCACCCACTCACACACTCACTCACACACTCACCCACCTCTTCCCTAGCCCGTGCTACGCCTGCGGAACTCACGGTGCACATGCACATGGCGCAGACACACGCAGACACACGCATGCATATGCATGCACATGCGCGCATGTGTGCTCATTGTAGCCGCGTACCTGGGTAGGTCTTGCCGATGTCAGCGATGAGGTCGCGGTTGAAGCCAGCGATGATCGCACCTCCCACCGGCACCATGAAGTTCTTATCCAGACTCTGCACAAACACGTCCACCCGGCCAACACGCGCAGCCTGCACACACAGACAAATATCCCCTGTGTAGCCTCAACAGACTGTTGGGGCTAGTGCTGTTAGCACCTATGAAGGCCGGCATGGCACACGAGGGGGTTGGTTTGCCAGCGCCATGCCCAGCCGCCTTTGTCTCCCCAGTGGTGAAGTTTACACACATCGCACCGGGTACTCATATGAGGCTGAGTCGACCTAGGGGAGGCCCAGGACTGGTTAAGATAATCGTCACTGGTATTGGCCGTGAGCGGGAATCGAACTCGGGTCGCCGGGTTCAGAGCGTAACGCACTACACTTCTGCAACCGCACACAAGCACACACAGACACAGATCCCCCATATAGCCTATACAGGCGGTCGGGGCAAGTGCTGTTCGCGAGCACCTATGAAGGCCGGCACGATACACCTAAGAAGGGGTGGTGTAAGCAGCACCACGTTCGACCATCTTTGTATCCCCAGAGTCTGGACCAATCTAGAGAAGGCCCAGGACTGGGTTCAGATATTTTCAGTTTCATTTATTTCATTTTCAGTTTCATTTATTTGGTATAGCCCTGTCAGCCATTCGGCTCTTGAGTTGGGTGCAACCGCAACAAACAAAAGACAAAAACATGAACAAGAAAATATCTTAAAGTGACTATGTGACTATGTGCAAACAGAAAATCCAGGAAAAACCAGCAAAATATTCCAGAAAAAGCACCATACACCAACGCTGTGTGCAAAAATCCCAGTGGGATGCAAGTCAAACAACAACAACAACAACCACAAGACAACTTAGATTAAGGCCATCAGTCTAACTCCGTACTACAACAAACATAGCCAAACCAAAAAACTTTTTGAAATAACCAAAATAAAGCCATAAAAGCAATGTAACAGTGATCAGAGGAACTGTGACCGAATTTTCACAATAAACGACATAAACAACATGTACCACCAAAACTCTGCAGCCATAGCTGGCTGCTTGAGTCACTCCACAACAGCAGGAGCATCAGTAGGAGCCACCGATGTTGGCCGTGAGCGGAAATCATAGCGCAGTGCGTTAACCACTGCCCCGCCACTCACCGCAGAGGCACAAACGTAAATTTATGTACATGATGAGGTGGGCGAAGAGATGCAGTTATTTGCTGGATTAAGAGAGTGAAAAGGTGAGTGAGGAGGTGAGCGAGGAGGAAGAGTCACCTGCTGGAAGAGGTGAGTGAGGAGGTGAGCGAGGAGTCACCTGCTGGATAAGGTGAGTGAGGAGGTAAACAAGGAGTCACCTGCTGGATGAGGTGCATGCACTTGCTGCTCTGCACTCCGTACGCGTTGTTGACGACGTGCGGGATTCCGTGTCGCTTGCAGATCTCAGCGATTTCCTCCAAACTGATGCAGCAACCACACCCATTATCAACCACCACCATCATCAACATCAACTTCCTTATCATCGACATCATAGTCATCAACATCATTTTATGGCAATCGCCATGAGGCTGGTTATAATCACAAGCGTAAAACGTCATACTCGAATTATTAATGTTGTGGGTTTACTCTCCAACACACTGGTGTGCTGAACTCGTAACTAATTTGCATGTTTTGTTCACGTGACAAATCTTACTAATTGGCTGTATTGGGTGATGGCGGGTTTAACGACACATTTACGCAATCTAACCCAAAGAAACCCCCTTTATTATGGATATTGTTCGCGACAGCCTACTACGTATTAAACAAAATCATCACTATCAAAGATCGTCATCATCGTCAATGTTATCATCAACATCATCACTGCACATCATCGTCAATGTGCACAGGTTGGGACCATCGTAGTGAGTGTGGAGACAAGTGAGACAGAACAGCTCACGGCTTGAAGAGACGGAGAGGCAGCCAGAGGGGGTAACGCGTCCGAGAGAGGAAATCTTATGACAGTTACAATGATGATGCTGCTGCTGATGATGGTGTTGCTGTTGATGATGATGCTGCTGCTCATGTTTCTGCTGATGACACTGTTCATGACACTGCTGATTATGATGATGATGATGCTCCTGCTGCCGTTGATGCTGTTACTCATGATGCTGCTGATGATGATGCTACTGATGATGCTGCTGCTGATGCTGCGGTACCGGTCGGGAGTGCGTGGGGCGAAGCAGGAGGTGGTGGAGTGGACACACAGAATGTTATCTGCCCCTAACTCCACCACGGCCGCCTCTAGCGCTCCGAGGTCTGTGCGCAGCTCGTCCCCCTCCAGCAGGTTCTCCAGCACCACGGGCTCCAGCCCTCGCCAAAGACAAAAGATCCCCCGTATAGCCTTAACAGACTGTTGGGGCAAGTGCTGTTAGCGAGCGGCACCTGTGAAGGCTGGAACGGCACATGAGGGAGCCGTGTGGCCAGCAACGCGCCCGGCTGCCTTTGTCTCCAGAGTGGCGATGTTTTTAAGACTGCATTGGGTACTCATTTGAGGCTGAGTCGACCTAGGGGGGGCAGGACCGGTTCAGATAATTGTCACTGGTGCTGACTGTTAATGGGAATCGAAATGGGGCCGCCGGGTTTGAAGCGAATTTGCCACCACCCTCCCGACACACAGACACGCACACATTTCCATGTAGCCCACACACACAGCTGGAGAAGGTGCTGTTAGCAAGTTGCATCTGTGCAGGCCGGCATGGTGCACCAACTATGGAGGGGACGGTGTGGTCACCACCACGTGTATCCATAAAGCAAATAATTAATTACACCCTCACTCGCCACTACACCCCGCCCAGCCCCCGTGGCCCTTCCTGGCCCTCACCAGCCCTCGCCGGCCTTTGCTAGCACAAAGCACGGCTCTCACCAGCACACAGCACGGTCCTCACCAGCACACAGCACGGCCCTCACCAGCACAAAGCATTACCCTCACTGGCCGTCACCGGGCACACAGCACGGCCCTCACCCGGCACACAACACGGCCCTCACCCGGCACACAACACGGCCCTTACCGGCACACAGCATGGCCTTGTAGCAGGACTTCTGGTCGATGCGTGGCCAGAGCACGTAGCGAGCGGAGCGGCGGTGCGATCGCAGCGCTGTGAAGCTCAGCGAGAGCGCCATGCCCGTGGCAACCGGCACCACGAAGCATGCGCTCGCACTGCGCACACCTATACACGCACGCACACATACACGCAAACACAGACATGCACACAAGCACATGCATGCACACCCCTTCACAATACAAAGACAAACACGCACACTTGCATGGACATGCACGTACGGACACACTCACACGTGCACAGATATACACACAAATGCACACACACACACACATGTATGCACACACACGCACGCACACACATGTATGCACAAGCACGCACACACAAGCACACACATACACACGAATGCACACACACAGAAGCCCACATACACATTCACACACAAGCGCACAGATGTGTAATAATTGTGTAGTGACTGTGAATTTCACTGTTTGGTGCAGGGCTTGTGAGGCCACGGTGGATAATATGTTGTCATTATGTGCAGCCCGGTTACTGGGCGTAGTACCAGCCCTAGCGGGGCTTGGGTGATCGCTGGTTAGTGCAGAGGCATCACGTACAGTGTGCGGTGCGGGCTCCCAGTGAGGGAGCAAGTGTTAGCCAGCCAGGGTTACGTTGGGGCATGATACGCTGGTTGACCTGCCGACACGTGACCGAATTATATTGGAGGGGGGCCACCGGTGGACGGGGGCCGCTGGGTTGCCACGTGGTATAGAGGGGGCCCCGTGAGGGGTTTGGGGTTCTTCGGGTTGTTGGTGAAGAATATCCATGTCGGGTTGAAGAAGCCTCTAGCCACTCGGTCCGGGACCCACCTTGTGGTCCGGACCGGGATAGCGGGACCGTGTCTAGTTCTGCCGTAGCGTGGTTCGATGGGCGTTCAACACCCGAGTGTATGTTACGTTATGTTGTGTTTAGTTGATGTAATAAATAGTATTGCTCCCAAGACAATGTCTGCGACTCAGTTGGACTCACTACATATGTATTGTAGAGTAAGAGCAGACATGAGGTTGGGGGGTCCATCCTTGATTCACCCCTCAGCCCACATTTGCCCACAGCCCTCTCTCAATTCATTCCCTGCTATAATGCCCCGAGTCCCTTGATGCCCCCCTCCTATATCTCCTCGCCTGTTCCTCCTCTTCTCCCCTGTTTTGGCCCCATTATCTCCCTCCTTTTGACAGTGGAAAACTTCTCCATGCCCCTTAACCTACTGTCCATCTCCATCCCTCCCCCTGACATTCCTTCGATCACCCCCCCCCACCCCTCGGGGAGAAAATAAAATATCCTTGGTTCTGCCTACCATTTCAATCTCACCCTGAGTCCCCCCCCCTCCCCCACCATTTACGGTGACAGCAACCCTTAACCACCCATTAACCATACAATTAATACAACTACAATTGTAATAATTTAGCACACTTTCTATTGGCGCTATTATTCTGATAGCACTAGTCTAAAAGGAAGATGCTGCTGCGCTCCACAGACACAGGCTTTAGTGGTTTTACAGTAGGGGGCAATGTTGCTAAGTGTAAAGGGTTATTTTTCAAATTTGGAAAAAAATTCAACCATGACACCAGCACACAATGGCCTCCTCGTTTTGCATGATGTCACGCATGATCTTTAACGTCCACTGTGAAGCAGAAGGCGCGTGGTAATATTACAGTAAATACAGTCTGTTCTCCTATATCGCAGTAGTAGTTGCGTTCCTGACGAACACCGCGTTAAAATAAATAATATATTACATGGGATAAAGCACCGTCCGCGACGACACACGAGATGTGTACGCAGGTGGAACAAATACTGAGGAGTGTGGGTAGCATCTAGAAGCATCAAGCAGCAACCTGCCTTGGGTGATGCTACGCCGAGGCAGCTGTACGACCGCTTATTCCTACTCACGCGACGTAGTTCTGTTCATTATAAAAAATGTGTTCTTTAATAAATTAATGGTGTTATATTCAATCAGCGTTATGAAAACACGTGGCATTATAGGAAAACTTAATGAATGCACATCGCAGTATTAACCGGGGTGGCCTGCGGGATTGGAACCATGAACCTCTGCAATAAGCGGCCAACGAGCTACCACTGGGCGACGTCATCGTGTACACAGATACACAGATATATACGCACATGGGTGTAATGGAAAGATACGTACACAGACACACGGGGTAAACACATGTATTGGTGAACACACAGGGGGGATCGTGTGGATACACACACACAGCCTGTGTGTGTATTGATGTATGTGTGTGTGGGTATGTGCAGCATATCAATGTATATGTGTGTAACGGTTAGCGCGCTGCACTATGATCCCGGCGACCCGAGTTCGATTCCTGCTCACAGCCAACACCAGTGATGATTATCTGAACCGGTCCTGGGCCTCCCCTAGGTCGACTCAGCCTCAAATGAGTACATAGTGTGATGTGTAAACATCACCACTCGGGAGACAAAGGCGATCGGGCGTGGTGCTGGCCACCCACCCCCTCATGTGCGATTCCAGCCTTCAAAGGCGCTCGCGAAGAGCACTTGACCCAACAGCCTGTGTAGGATACACGGGAGATCTTTGTTGTTGTACGCACGCATGCGCACGCCTTACTCACCGCTGGTCCTTATCACGTCCAAGGCGACCGAGTTTGCCAGTTTGCTGAGAAGACTTGAGCCGGCTGCTTTGGGCTGCACAGCTGTGATGTCACCTGACCTTCCGATGCCATGGATCATCCTTGTCACACACACACACAAATATACAACAATCCCCAATGTGACCCTGAACATGCTGTTGGGACAAGTTCTCTTAAAGCGCCTATTATTAAGGTCGGGGCAGCAAACAAGGGGGTGGTTGGCCAGCACTGTGCCCGGCCGTCATTGTCTCACCAGGTCCTCATTTAAGGTTGAGTCGACCTAGCGGAAGCCCAAGTCCAGTTCAGATATTCGTCAGTGAAGTTGGTTGTTGTGAGCGGGAATCAAACTCGGGCGACTGGGTTCGGAGTGCAGTGCGCCAACTAATGCTCCCCATACACAAACCTACACCAGGGTTTCCCAGACTCCAGCCCTCGAGACCCACGACCACGCTATGTCTTTCTGCATTTGCAAATTTACTCCTCCCCATTCAAATACAAGTTAACTCGTTCCATGCTGTATGCACCTGATGACTGTTAAACAAATTCCATGTGACGTGCTGTTGTAAACTCAGAATCAGAATCTTTAGTAGGGGCAGGTGGTCAGAAAATTACATCAACAATACAAAAGGTGATATGAGTGAGAAGATGGAGAAAAGGTAAGCAAGTCACAAAAAATAAAGTATAAAGTACAAATTGCACAAGTATATAAATTCCTAGAGATGTGTCAACACCAAATGCAAGATAGGTGCAAGGCACCACACCAAGACATAACAGTCCCTGAATTACATTGAAGATTAAAACTGACCTATCGTTCAAGTACGTTTGTCTGTATGCGTGTCCGGGCATGGTGCTGGCCACCCACCCCCTCGTGTGACGTGCCGGCCTTCATAGGTGCTCGCTAACAGCACTTGCCCCTAGTCTGTTTAAGTTACATTGGGGATATTTGTCTTTGAGTGTGGTTCACCTGTAATGTCTTTTGGCCACGAGAGCACAAACCACACGGCCCTCACGCTCCCCAACGCCGCAGTTTCCCAAGAAGTTATTGGAGTCCATGACGGACAGCTCCTGCAGCAGCAGCTCGATCGTCTGGTCCTCCCAGCCTTCCTCTGGCAGCTTACGCTGTGCATGACAAAAGCAAAAATCCCCCGTATAGCCTTAAGACTGTTGGGGCAAATGATGTTAGCGAGCACCTATGAAGGCTGGCATGCTACACGAGGGGGTGGCCAGCACAATGCCCGGCTGGCATTGTCTCCTTAGTGGCACGGTTTACACATCGCACCAGGTACTCATTTGAGGCTCAGTCGAACCAGGGGAGGCCCATGACCAGTTCAGATAATCGTCAATGTTGTTGGCTTTGAACGGGAATCGAAATTGGGTCGCCAGATTTGTACCGCAGCGCACTAAGCGCAACACACACATATACATGGATACGCTGTGCATACCCACACACACGCATACACGTATACAAAGACACATTCTGATTTCTATTTTCAGTGCACGGCGTGATACAGTGGAAGCGTCTACTCTCATGCGTTCTACTGCCATTTGTCACTGCAAAAAATGTAACTTGAGGTCTTATTCAAAGATTCACGATGTTTGCGGCCGCCGTGCGACCACCGTGCCAAAAGCACCCCCATAGCTTCCTTCGTCGCTCCGCTGACCCCGTCTCCCGTGTGCCACACCTTCTCAAGCAGCACGCGCACGACCTTCTCGTGTGCGCGCCGCGCCTCGTGGCCCTGGCGTGCATATGACGCCGGCACCAGATCCTCGCACAGTGCCGCGTTCACCTCGTTCATCCTGGGGAGACACGCGCGGAGCGGCCCGCGAAAACGATTCTCAACTGTGCATGGGTTTAACGAAGTACAGGTAAACCGCTCAAACAAACATCCTGGGGAGAAACACGCGAAACGATCTGCCAACCCGATTCTCAACTGTTGCATGCAGGGGCAGAGCCAGGGGGGGTGACAGGGGTGACATTCTGCATATAAGTGTACGACACTCGGTCTGGCGGACTCTGTGCAACTGCATTGTCAGAGTGTGTCGCCAACCGATGGCGTCTAGTTCAACAGCCTGACTCTCTAATCATTCTTGAAATAAAAATTTGTTGAATGTCACCCTGGCCTGAAATCCTGGCTCCGCCCCTGGTTGCATGGGTTTAAAAATGTATAGTTAAACTGCTCAATCAATGAATCAAACATTTATTTGAATATTACTTCATTTGAATATATATTGATCCAACCGTTCACGTATCCACCTATTCATTCAACTATGTATCACTGAATATTCATTAATTCATCCATTGTTTCAGCTATTCATTACTGTGACTATTTATGAATTCAATCATGCATTAATTCAACTATTCGTCATTCTAGCCATTCACTGATTCAACCATTCATTGATTCAAATATTTGTAATGGCAGGGTGACACCTGCTGGCCTGGAAGGGGAATCACGAGTACGGGCACGGTTAAGTAACAGCAATCAGAGAGGGGGGTGTATCTGGGGCTAAGGTATAAGGTGGGGCTAGCCAAGATACTCCGGGAACCTGCTCGAAGGTTCCACGAGAGGGCGTGGCCGGAGTGGGGACCTAGCCACGCCTGGGGAGATAGAAGGGGGAGCAGACCCGGGGCTCGGGGCTCGTGTGTGGGGTCTTGGGTCTTGGCTGCGTCGCTGCTTGCCGACATCTCTCTCCGCCGTCCGGCCACGTGGAAGATCTCCTGCGTGTTTTCCACTGCCGTCATTGTCACGCCGCCAGCTAGCGGCGTGAGGGCGATGGGACCATGCCGAGTGATCGGCTTTGTGTAGCCAGTAGAGACGTTAATATCTAGTGTTGTACTCCGTGTGAGAAAGAATAAGTGTTGGCCTGTGTTGTGCCCAGTGTGAGTAAAAAAGAAGTTCCCTCTACACGACGTGTCGCGGAAGTTGCTCATTACATATTTATCAATATGACCATTCATTCAACCGTTTACTTTGCCCTTCATCAATTCAAATATACATTCAACCGTTGAGTCAACCAATCATTGATTCAACTGTTTATTGATTAAACCATTCACTGATCCAAAACAGTAATTGAAGTCAATATAATTTCAGTTAATTTAATTGTTCATGAATGTAATCATGCATTGTTTAGTCAATTTAATGATTGACTGAACAAATAACTGAGCCATAAATTTAACCATTCACATTCAACAATTATCAATTCAACTAAGGGGCCGTCCATTAATGACGTCACGCGATTTTGGACGATTTTTGACCCCCCCCCCCCTTGTCACACGGCGTCACAAAAAGTCAGACCCCCCTCAAATATGACGTCACAAAGCTCTGCCCCCCCCCCCCCCCCCAAATAAAAAATGTCGAAAATCGCTTTAAACTATTGTCATTGTAGTGCGTATTTAATGTACCGCTGCACTGTTGTAGGAGAAAACATGTATTAAAAAGTCGATTTAATTAAGAAAAACGTGTTGTCTATATTTATTTAAAGTTGCACATTTTGATGTGACGTCACATTTCTCAAACCCCCCCTCGTCACAAAGTCACAAATGTCTGACCCACCCCCCCCCCCAGGTGTGTGACGTCATTTATGGACGGCCCCTAATTTACCCAACGATGCATTGATTTGTGATATCAATTCAACCATTCCACCAATCACTCCAGCAATTCTCCAGTTAACTGATTAAACAATGTGTTGCTTACTCAATTAATGCATTCAAGGAATACACATGTAGGGGTGTTGTGGGAAGGAAACACAGTGTGGGAAGGTAACACACAGCCACACCTTGGGGGCTACAAACACGTCCGCTATAGCCCCGCCCTCAGTGGTGTATGGATATAAAGGGCGGGGAGCCAGAGAGCTCGGGGCAGTGTGTTGGGGCCAAGAATGAAGAACCAGTGAAGAAGGAAGACCGGCTAGATAGACCCTGGGACTTCCCTGACCGCTGTCCTTTTGAGGGCCGGTAGGGTAAGGCCGTGGTGCGGCCCCAGAGCCTCAGAGCCGGAGCCCTTTTAAGGGCCGGTCTGGTTGGTGGGGTGCTGTGATCTGTGCTTGACCAGGGCCAGATCAGATTGCCTCCTCTAGCACCTGTAGCTGGAGGAACTTAGAGCACAGGAGTTAGGCTAGATAACCTAGAGGGTGTCCCAGCGTGTATACGGGTGAAGCGACCGCTAGGACCCCGGCCGGACGGCGCTTCAGCCTTCAAGCCTTCGCATCAAACTCCGGCAAGTGGCGGCACCCCACATGCTCGGCCTGTGCACACACCTGTCACTACCTCACGCGCTTCGATGTACGGATCTCGTGGTACGGCCACCGGTTCGTCGGGTTTCGGCGGGGTCGAGAGGGCGCTCAGGCCGGGTCAGTTGTCTGAATTGGCTCACCGAATTGTTGCTGCGTCGGCCTGTTCGTCCGTTGTTGCGGGTCGTATCGATGAAGTTGAGGTGCGTGTCCTTGTCGATACGGGGGCATCGACAAGGATTTGATCTATAATATCCTCCCCGTTCAGAGCCGCCCCTTGCTGCCAGTCGACGTTCCGTGTTACGCAGCAAACGGGGGTTCGTTGGGTATCATCGGCCAAATCCGAGCACAAATTTGCATTGGGGATATCAAATTATCTGGGCCAATATTAGTCTCATCCTCGCTGGCGGTTCCGTGCTTGTTGGGGACAGACTTTTTGGCCAAAATGCCGATTAAAATATTGATTGACCAGGGATGCATTGAGCTCCCTTCGGGCCGACGTATAACGTTCCCGCCCTCCCCCATCACCGCAAGGACGGCCTGCGCGACGATACCGGCATTCGTCACTGGTACTGTACGGGTGCCACCGGGTGCGCAAATGCTCGTACCTCTTCGGTTGCGTCGACCTTTCGCACTGGGTGTTTCGGACCATGGCGTTCTGTTAGGGCCCTCCAAGGCTAGGGAAAATGGGCTAGATTTGGTGGCCGCTCAAACGATTGTGAAGGGGAGCGATGACCCGTTCATTATGGTCCTTAATGTCGGGCGCAGACGGCTGTGGTTCCCCAGGGGACCGTGCTTGCACATGCGACGCCGGTACCCGTAGAAGAAACGGTTATAGGACATGTGGGGACCGACCCTCCAACTCGGCCACGTTCCATTGAGGACGATATTTGGATGGATGCACTGTGTGCAGGGACGAACGATCTATCCGACTCCCAGCGTGCCGGATTACGGAACCTTTTGAGTGAATTCGCTGATGTCTTAAGCAAGCACAAATATGATATTGGGTGCACTAATTTACTGCGACACCACATCAACACGGGTGCAAATGCCCCGGTACGTCAGAATCCTTTTCGGTTGAGTCCTGCCGAAAAGGATCATGTTAAAACGGCTGTGGACGACATGTTGGCTGCGGAAATTATATCTCCTTCCACCAGTCCGTGGGGGGCACCCATAGTGCTTGTGAAAAAGCACGATGGGTCTTTGAGATTTTGTGTGGATTTTCGTCGCCTAAATAAAATCTCGGTGGCCGATGAATTTCTACTCCCCCGAATGGACGACTCTCTGGATGCTCTAGCAGGGGCACGATTTATCTCTACATTGGACTTGTCAGGGTTCTGGCAACTTCCATTGGATGACGAGTCCAGACCAAAGACTGCATTCCGTACACCACATGGCCTATTTCAATTTAACCGGTTGCCTATGGGATTACACTCCGCTCCGGCGACATTTCAGCGCCTTATGGAACTGGTTTTGGCTGGACTTCAATGGGACATTTGTCTGATCTATCTGGACAATGTAATTGTATTTAGCAAAACGTTTGACGAACACCTTTTGAGATTGCGCGCCGTGTTCCTCAAAATGCGTGCTGCAAATTTAAAATTCAAACCACAGAAGTGCCACTTGCTCCAAGTATCCGTGCGGTATCTAGGGCACATTGTCAGCTGATCGGGCATATCTACCGATTCCGCAAAAACTCAAGTTTGTCAGCTCCTGGCCGACCCCCACCTCGGTGGCTGAGGTCAGGAGTTTCATTGGGTTCGCATCTTATTACCGGCGGTTCGTTGCGGACTTCGCGACCATTGCTAAACCTTTACATGCCCTTACAGCAAAGGGAGTGAAATTTCACTGGGGTCAGGTCGAGGAGGTCGCTTTCGTTCCCTTCGCAACGCTCTCGTGAGGGCCCCACCATTGAGCTACCCCGATTTTTCTGAACCCTTCCTGCTCGATACAGACGCCAGCAATACGGGTATAGGGGGTGTGCTCTCGCAGGTTGTCGGTGGTGTGGAGCGCGTTGTGGCCTACGGCAGTAGGGTCTTGTCTCCGGCGGAGCAGAGATACTGCGTCACCCGGCGGGAGCTGTTAGCCATTGTATTTTTTATACAGCAATATCGGCCATATCTGTACGGCCGGCACTTTACCATCCGTACAGACCATGCGGCATTGCAATATGCCTTGCGGGTGGAACAGCCTTCGGGGCAATTGTCTCGATGGCTCGAGGTCCTTCAGGACTATGATTTCACAACCACATATTGGAAGGGTGTTCGACACACTAATGCGGACGCGCTGCCTCGCCTGCCACCCGCCTCAGATTGCGCTTGTCTCATGGGATTGGGGCGTTGTAAGCCGCTGGATGACAGCCCAGATTTAAATATTCCAATTCTTGCTGCCGCCACCAAGGACCGTGTCTGCGGGTCCTATCAAGCAGGGGGAAGGAGACTCCTTGCTGGGGTTATCTGTTACGGAATGGGAGCGCCTCCAGATGGAGGACGCGTCCCTCCTCGCGTTGCGTCGTCACGCAGGGGGTTCCATGAGGGGGGTGACGGGGGTTTATTCATTCGGGCTGCACCAGGGGCTCCTTATGCATTGGGATGGGAAGGCCCACCGTCGCAGGCTGGGGGTACCTTCCGCTCTGAGGGGTAAGGCCGTGTGGGCTGCTCACGAGCGACTGTTGCACCTAGGGACCCACAAGACCCTTGCCATGCTCCAGCTGGATTTCTTCTGGCCGGGCATGGCAAGGGATGTGGATGACCTCCTGGGTGCATGTACTCAGTGCGCCCAACGAAAGCCACCAGCGAGGAGCGCGTGTCCGCCAATACAATCTATTACGGTCTCTCGAGTTAACGAACTCGTCGCACTCGATATATTGCGGCCCTTCCCTGCGACCCCTAGGGGTTATAAGTACCTACTGGTTGGCGTAAAATACTTTACTCGGTGGCCTATGGCATGGCCCCTCGCCAACCATCGCCGAGGCCTTTGTCCAGGGCTATGTCCTCGACAAAGGTGCTCCCGAACGGCTGCTGACTGACCAAGGGAAAACTTCTCTGGCCACTAACTGTTCCATCTTCAGGTGCCTCGAGAATGACGGCCTCCCAGTCGCCTGCGCCACCCGGCGGGGACAGGGATTGTCCTCCCGGGATGTCAGAGGGTTGCGCACCCGAACGGACAGCGCCCACCGCCGGCCCGACCGGTTTCCCCCCCTACGATGGGCCCGCAAAACGGACTCGCGCCAAAACACGCCGGTTTTTGTAATGTTGCCTTCTGGTTGCACTTGTTCTGTTCACACTGTTTTACTCACCTGTTAAGTCTCCTTTTGCTGCGCTGACGGGTGACTCTGGTTGAATGCGGTGGGGGGAAAATGTATATGCTGTATATAGTGTATCTTTGTATAGGTGGGTTGGGTTAGTTATTGGGGCGTTTGGTTGTTATGAGGCACGCACAGTTGGGGTTTTGTTGTGCTGTTATTGTTGAATATTGTTGCAGCCGAGACGGCTGCGGGCTGTACGGGAGGGGGTGATGTAGGGGTGTTGTGGGAAAGAAACACAGTGTGGGAAGGTAACACACAGCCACACCTTGGTGGCTACAACCACGTCCGCTATAGCCCCACCCTCAGTGGTGTATGGGTATAAAGGGCGGGGAGCCAGAGAGCTTGGGGCAGTGTGTTGGGGCCAAGGATGAAGAACCAGTGAAGGAAGACCGGCTAGATAGATCCTGGGACTTCCCTGACCGCTGTCCTTTTGAGGGCCGGTAGGGTAAGCCAGTGGTGCAGCCCCAGAGCCTCAGAGCCGGAGCCCTTTTAAGGGCTGGTCTGGTTGGTGGGGTGCCGTGATCTGTGCTTGACCAGGGCCAGATCAGATAGCCTCCTCTAGCACCTGTAGCTGGAGGAACTGGGATTACAGGAGTTAGGCTAGATAGCCTAGAGGGTGTCCCAGCGTGTATACGGGTGAAGGGGCCGTTACCCCTTCCAGTGTAACCCTTGTTACGTTAAATAGTGCTGCCTCTACTCCACCGTCTCCTTATCTCGTGAACCCACTACACACATGTTGATTAAACAGGTCCTGTAATATACGTGCATCGTCTTTGCACTGTTCGTCTTTTGGCGTTCTCTGGTCTGAAACACGGGAGCGACAAGGCCATGAAGAATGCTGTCTCTGGTACAGGCCAATCAGTTTCAAAGGCAATGCATACGTTATTATCAGGGCATGTGTGTTTGCATTGTCACCACAAGTACGTGTGGTTAATGCAGACTTGATTGCTTGCAAAGGGTATCTATGTGTGTGTTTACATCTTAACACCTGTTTTATTGCCAAAAAGGGTAAAAACCTATTCTCATGTTTCATTTATTGATTTAACAATTAGCTTAGCAAATGATTCTCTACAGTATGCCTTGGCTGTCCATTGAATCAATTTAGTGTGCACTGTGCAGTGTCACTGCAACCTGGACCGAGTACGGTACTGCGACGGCATGCATCTGAATGTTTACATGTACAGTGCATCTCCTGTATGTCAATCCACTGGTGGATGACTGCTCCCCTTTACCGTGCCAGACGACGGGGTGCCCTCACTATACTTCACCACGCTGGCCTGTGCGGGTCGGTGAAGGTGGGGAGCATAGACGTTGGTGCACAGTACCGTACAATTTTACTGCCCTGGGCTCTGCTGCTCATCACGTGGCCCCGCAGCAGCAGCAGCCTACAGGATCCTGTTCGTGCACGGTGGTCGCCCACCCAAGCGCTATCCAGGTTCAAAAACCCGCTTAGCTTCACAGATGTGACATATTGCAGGCGATTTGGCCAATGTGCACGCTCTTCCTTCCGATATTAGGCAACCGCTGGAGCTATGCGCTTTTAAATAGTCTCGATTTAAAACTCATTTCTTGTGACTAGCTGTTTTGTGTTTAGTTGTCCTTCCCCCGCACCTCCGATTAGCACGGTTGGTTACTTACGGTGCGAAAGAAGTTCAACATACGCACACACAAACGCGTGTTGCGCCGAGTTTGGCATCAGCGCTGACGGGACACGGAAAGCCGTGAGTGGTTGTTCACCTCCCCGTCCTCGCGTGCGCCGTGCCGGTCTTGAGAGCTGCTCGCTAATAGCGCCAACAGGCTTGTAAAGGCTACGTGGGGGGCATGTACACGGGTTGGATGTAACCCATGTGGGGGGCATGTACACCGACTGGAACAATTGTGGCATCAGAGGGCCGCCGCTCCCCCCCCCCACGACCTTGGGCCTCCTCGTCCCGCCGCGCAGGGCTCGCCTCTGCTGGGCGGGATTTTATCCGAGCGCCGTTCCTACCCCGAAGAGCCTCTTACCTGCTCGCTCAGCGCCGCGATATTTAGCGAATGCAGGACGTGAAAGCGCTTCAAGCCGCGCCGCGGTGCCAATGTCTTTTAGTTGCTTATCTTTGAAAGTTGTGATTTCAAAAGAGTAAACATTTTAATCGGGAGTTTAAGCTTCCACCGCGAGGTGACGTCGGGTTCAGCTTGCGCGGATCACGTGATCGCGGCGGGGGCGAAGGTCACGTGCTGATTTGTACACGAGGTCACGTGCGTGTACGTGCGTGTACACGTGTTTGTTGACATAGTAGGGGGCACACATGTTGCATTCGGCCCAGTCAGCTCAGTCATCCACAAAAAGTTTTTTTGGGTGAGGTCGCGTAAATATAAATGTGTCGTTAAATCCGCCACCACCCGACAGCTAATTAGTAAGGGTTGTCACGTAAACAGAACATGCCAAATCGTTACTAGTACAGGAACACACCGGTGTTTGAGAACAAATCCACAAAATTTACACTGCAAATCAGTCGACCCATGGTCTGTTCCGTAACCTCCTGCCAGCGGGCGTTCGACACTGCACGTGGCCTTAACGTGCACCTAGCCTGGCACAGGCGCCGTGGTAAGGTCACCGCCATTTAGTGGCGAATGGTGGTTGTTGTGTGACGATTTTCTGAACCGGTCACGGGCCTCCCCTCGGTCGACGGCCTCAAATGATTAGGGGCCGTCCATAAATGACGTCATGCACCGGGGGGGGGGGGGGGGGGTCAGACATTTGTGACGATGTGTGACGAGGGGGGGGGGGGCTTTGAGAAATGTGACGTCACATCAAAATGCGCAACTTTAAATATAGACAACACGTTCTACTTAATTAAAGACATTTTAATAAATGTTTTCTACAAGAGTGCAGCGCCACATTAAATACGCACAATGACAATAGTTTAAAGCCATTTGAAGCATGTTATATATTGGGGGGGGGCAGAGCTTTGTGACGTCATATTTGAGGGGGGGTGTGACTTTTTGTGACGCCGTGACGTCATTTATGGACGGCCCCTTACCTGGTGTTTTGTAAACATCGCCAACTGGGGAGATAAAGGCAGCCGGGCGTGGTTCTGGTCACCCACCACCTCGTATACCGCTCCAGCCTTCATAGGTGCTTGCTTACAGCACTTGCCCCAACAATCTGTTTTGGCTATACGGGGGATCTTTGTACACGTCTTTGTGAGTGCAGTACACATCCTTGTGAGTATGCGTGGATGTGAGTACACTTGCATGCACAGCCCCTCTTTATTAATCCACTGCTGGATCCTGCTTGACGGCGTTCCCCACCGACGCCGTGCGGGTCGTGGGGGTTATTTGACCATGCTTCACCACGCCGACTGCCAAAGCCGGGGGAGCAACAGACGCGGGAGTGTGTACACGTAACAATGGATGTTTCTGCATTGCCATTTGCTGTCCACCGAGTTGTCACGCGTGGTGGTCGCGTATCCAAGCACGATACAGGCTCAACTCTGCTTATTTTCGGATAATGTACGCTTTCTGGTTTATTTGGTCACACGCTGTGTAATATACATTTACAGTTTTTAACCAAGTGGGCGCGCCACGGTGGCGAGATGTCAACTCCCTCGCCTGGTATGTAGGAGGTCGTGGGCTCGATCCCAACCCTGACGCCTGCTTTATATTTTGAGTTTGCATGTTCTCCCCGCAGTCGGGTGGGTTTTCACTTCACATTTAAAATCAACACGCGTTTTAGAGTATTTGACCGCTATACGTTTTCATATACGCCACTTCGTCGAGCTACCATGTGGTCAGTTTGCTTGTGAAAAAGAGCTGTACAGCTCAGGCGGCCTTCCCTGGTAAAATCTAAAGTTTTATTTAGAGACCGCATGTAGATCCATTCGGCTCCTTTGTCAGTACACCGGGGTCGGCAACCTGCGGCTCTTCATGACGTTATTTATTAGGGACCGTCTCGTATTCACGTCCATTGTGGCTCTTGAAACATTTTTTGTACCGAATTCGAAAAAAATGCTTATTTTGGTTGCCGACCCCTGTTACACGAGAACCATTCTCTTGTGAAGGGATGTCCATTATTTAGCTGTGCGAGGACAGTGTTGTACACGGTGGTCCAGATGTCTCGTGACCCCTCATTTGCCCCCCTATTTTTTTCCTTTGCACATTCATTTCTGTTTTAAGTCTTACTTAAATAATATTACGTTTCAGAGAACAAAATGGGGGGGGGGGGGGGCATAAGACATCTGGACCACCCTGTACAATGTCACGGACTGCCAGGTGGAACTAAAAAAATGGGGGCTCACTTGGGAGCTTGGGGCCAGGAAAGGATTCCGAGGAAGGGGGGCTCGCTCAGGAGCTTTGCGAGGGATTCCAGGGGTTGTCGCTGGAAGGTCGATGCTGCTATTTCGGAGTTACGCTCCCACGCCTGACGCGATCAGTGAGGCTCGTCTGCCCGAGGGCAGTGAGAACATGACGTGTGTGGTTTTTACCGAGTTTATTTCTGGTTTATTATTACAATGGTTTGGCCTCGCGCTCTACACAGCTCGGCGTAAAATCTGGAAGCGGCGAAAAAGAGCACAAGGCTAGAGAGCAGCGGCAAGAAGTGAAAATGTCCACGGTTATATGGCAGGGACCAGCCACACGTAGGATCGTCGGCTTCACGAGATGGTGATCATGGGCCATTTAGTACGTACGCAAAAATCTGTCAAAACTTGACCTCCCCCCCCCCCCAACCTGTGTGCGTACGCTTGACGTACCCCCCCCCCCCCAATCCTATAGAATGGCCGATATTTAATCCACGCAGAAATGATCAATGATTAGTAATATTAACGTGTTTAAGCAAAGAGATAGTCCACCGCCGGACTATATAACTCATTTGAAGGCCAATGTAGACAAATTATCGAGGCTTCACCCCCCCCCCCCCCCCCCCCGTTTCCTATGCGTACGTACATTGTCATTAGACCCCCCATACGCAAGCGTAAAATTTGGGTAAATCCCCCTCCATGCGTACAGGCCAAATGGATGGCCCCTCAGTGCAGGTAGCTATTCAAAACCGTGTCTAAAAACGCGAATGGTTTTGCCAAAATCCGTGTAAATGGGGACACTGCGAGTTCGTCGATCGCCAGGTCCTGTGTGTGGTGGGGTAAAGTGTGGGTACTTCCACCGCTTTCACTCCCACCAACCGGCACTGACCAGGATAGAGAATTGTGGGCAAATAATCCAAACGACTCGCGCAGCGTGGAAGGGTCGTCATCCAGCAATGGATTTGCAAAGTGCCCGTTATAAAATAGGATTCAGATGATAATTTCCTGCTCATCTGTAACGTAATGCGCACACACACGGACAACTTTACTTATTATAAGAGGCTCTATAGCTGACCAATGCAAACCACCTTAGTTGTTTAATCAACGCTACACGCCACAATAGTGCAAAGATATAACCCGAAGCAAAATCCGCGACCCTACAGTGTAAAATATTCGAGTCTTTATGGAGGGTTCACTGTGGCATCGCAACCGATAGCGGCTGTGCACGGATAGTTAAGGGATTTTATTTTGATCAAATATGGGTTTGGATTTGAGTCCAAACCTAAAGTTAACGCTCAACTCCAACCCAAACAGTGATGATAGCCCCTAACATGGATACCTAACTATATAGCTCCATCTCAAACTCAAGCTGATATGATCGGCCTAAAGGTCTAATTCATGCATAGTACCAATCTTAATACTAACTCTGACCCTTACAATAACACTCACCCTAACTCCTAATGGAAATTCTAACGCAAAGATAAACTCATAAATTTAACCCTAACCTCTAAATAGTAACTTATAACCCTAATAGTAACATTAACCCCAATACTAACACAGACCTAAACACAGAGGCACCCTACTTCGCACTAACCCCTAACTCATATCTCTCATACTAACCCACCAGATAAACTTGAGCAGTTAACCCAACATTGGCCCGAAAAATACCCGACGCTCGCGACAAAAAGCATGTAAAGTTGACCAAACACGAGCGTTTCTCATATAAACACCTGCATCAATTTTGCAGGTAATATATTAATCAATGCATGCTAATCACATAATTGCATTTCAAATTAATTTAACCTCAAGCGGAAGTCGGCTCCCTGCCTGAAACAGCAGCAATCCATTTTACCGCACGGATATTTTTATCAAACACACAAGGGGAGTAGTGGATAGGTGGCTCAGCGGGTTCGTAATTCCTGTCGGAAACACAATGCCAGCAACGCCGAGATCCTGGTTTTGAATCCTGGTTTTAACCGCCCAATTGTGATTGAAATGCGTTCTCAAGTGTAGCAAGTCGGTTGTCTCAGCATGGCCACCTACATCTGACAGAGACCCATGGACTCAAATAGAGATCATATAAGCTTTGAGACCCAATGACTCGCGTAGACTGATTTGATTAAACTGGGTTTTCAAATGTAACAAGTTGATGGTCTCAACATAGTCACCAATCACTGCACGAACACCTCCCCCCACCTCCATATTGAGTTTTTTTTTTTATAATTTGGCTAAAATACAGCTGCGAGATAAAAAAGTTGGCTTTGACATGCGACAAACATTACTTGCCAGACATATAAAAAGTGTGGATAAGAAGGCCTCTTGGCGTGACTTCAGATGTAGTTCTGCGATATCACCTTCTGGGACCATCCCAACACAAGTCAGGGCACTGCTTTTCTGTAAGCGTTCCAAAACATGGAAGTTCATACATCTCACAATGTGACCTCCAATAGCCCAAGTTGAATATGGCCAAGCCAAATTATTTTTTTAAAGATTAAATAATACATTAACACAAGTCAAACCGTGCAGACACGTGTTCACACATCAGCAACCATTAGCACAAGCGGCTGTATCAGCCGTCCCGTCTGCTAGATCCCACAGCTATTTCAGTGTCATCACTGCAAGCACCACCACCATCTGCCTTGCGGTCTTTACCTTGGTCGCCGACCTCTGGGTGCCACTCCAATGCCCCTCTCGGGGTGACTGCCCTCCCCAACCCTGCACACGTGCCCCACCCTGCGCACGTGCCCCACCCTGCGCACGTGCCCCACCCTGCGCACGTGTACCAACCCTGCACATGTGCCTCCCTCCTGTACGTTCTCCTCTTTATTACATCTACAACAATGTTTTTAGCAAGTTATATTCATAACCTCCAATTTAATTATCCTGCTATATTATTTTTTAAGTATTATGAGTAATACCCACAATACCATGCAAGCACCACCAAGGCTCTATGCATACGCACACCAGCCTGGTCTAATAGACAAAGCCAATTGGTGACTGAAATGTCACCGCCAGCTGTTCCACCGTGGTTAGGATCATCAGCAGTGTACAGCCCCGATAGTCTCCTGCCACAATTGACAGTTCCAATGCTTGTTATCAACCACAAAGCACAGCTAGCTCTTGTTTATCTATCTGTGGACGGATGATGTGGGCTGCAGATTAACCGGGCTTGAGGAAAAAAATATATATATTTTTACCCGTGCACTGGTTCTATCATCATTATCATCCGCTCCTCACTCGTCCAGGGGTCAGTGACTCTGTGCCTGGTTTATTTATCTCCGGGGTTGATAAAATGAGTAACCAGTAAGGGGAGGAGGGAAGTCCACAGCGGTTGTGCTATGGATAGACTCGTCCCCACCATAGTAATGTGGCTCAGAGCTGTTAATAGAAGAGCACCAATGCCTCAATGCCCATTTAAGCATAAATCGCTTGGATTAGTAATTCAGATAGAAATCACGTGTCCATCCTTCATAACAGAGATATGCCCATGAAAAACCATGGTGGTGTCGGACCTACATGGACGAGCTGACTTCTCCATCCACACTGGGACGGTGGTGATGCTGAGTTTAGTTTTGTTCGAGTGTCAAACCATCAGCTTATTCCATAAGCCACTTGGTACGTATATATACCCGACCATTGTCTTCAAATTGACACCCTGTACATTTAGGATTTTTTATTTTGACTGTGAGCTCTCCTAATTTATTTGCTCTTGCGGTGCATGTATGCTGTGAAGGTGGCTCAATGTGATATGCAGTGAAAGCTGTGGTCTTGACTCCATTTGACATGGAGTGGAGGCTGTGGTGTTGGCTCTATGTGGGAGTGAAGGCTGTGAAGGTGGCTCCACGTGACATCAAGCAGAGGCTATGGTGGTAGCTCTATGTGGGAGGGCGTTGGCTGTGGCTCTACATGCTATTTTAATGGAGTGGAGCCCCTCCACATGGCACCGTGTTCCTCCATGTGTCTCTCCGATCCGTGTCACTATTTACAAAATTTAATTACCCCAAAATGGGCCAAAACTCATTCCCGAAAAAAGAAAACTCAGCGGGTGAAAAACAATCTAAATTTATCAAACCAACCTCCTCACTACCCCCTTCTCTCCCGGGGGTCAGGGGTCACGCGTAAACGCTGCCGTTGGGGTGGCCACTGGGCTCCGGGTGGGGGGGGGTGGTGGCCGCGTCAGACACCCGGACGCCGTGGTCCTGCGACTTGAGCGCCGCCAGGTGCAGCTTCTCCAGGAAGTCCGGCATGCCTGGCACGTGCGCGGGGAGGAGACGCGCACACGATGGAGGTTCATAATGGGGTCCCACGGTGACGAGATGTTAACTCCCATGCCTGGTATACAGGAGATCATGGGTTCGATCCCAACCCCTGCTGTATATTTGGAGTTTGTGGTGTCTCTCTCTCCGTGTTGGTGTGGATTTTTCTCCGGGTCCTCCGGTTTTTTCCCTCCACATTTAAAAACGTGCGTTTAGAACATTTGGCTGCTATACATTTCCACATAAGCATACCTGTTAACCCATACGGTTTACCCATATTGGTTGACAGGGAAATTGAGTTTTCAGGTCCATACGGCGTACAGCCGTTCCAATACAGACAAAACTAAATTATGTGTATTTATTTGTGTTTCTCCCTTGTGATGGGACTTTCTAGGATGGACGTTGAGATTTGTAAGGGCACGGGGTGACCAATAAGATCTGAATTGTTCTGTAATAAGCAAGGCACTGATAAGGGGTTGACAGGTATGCATAAGTCACTACGTTAAGTTATCATTTGTCACCAGGTCGCTATATAGCTCAGTGGGCTTCCTTACCTAGTAAAATAAAAGGTTTTTAGTTTATAATGGCTGTGTCGGGGATAGTGATCCAGTCGTGCTGAGTACCTGGGTTCAAGCCCTGGGTCTGGGTATATCTGTCTCGCTCTCCCTCAGGGGTTTTAGAATGGCTGTGTTCCAGATGGTGACATGACAGTTAAGCCCCAGGTCTGGGTATCCAAGTCTCTCAGGGTGTTCACAATGGCCAGATTGGAGACAGTGAGGTCCTGGGTTCAATGCTAGGTTTGGTGTCTCTCAATATCTCTCTCAGAGAACACATAATAGCCAAGTCAGGTACATTAGGCACTGAGAAAATCCTGGGTTCAAGCAATTGCTCTGGATGTGTGCATCTCTCTCAGATGGTTTATAAAGGCCATGTAAGAGACACCAAGAACTGCCGAACTTCTAGGTTCAAGCCCTGGGTTTGGGTTTCACGTCAAGAGACACTGCACGAGGTATGGCCATGAACTCACCACTCGACACCATCCAGCTGATGCAGGAACGGGGAAACACGGTCTGCGGGTCGTCCTGGTACGTGAGCAAGTAGTCAAATCCTCTCTGAGACACGCACACACATGCACACATTCACATAAACATGCCCTGTGTATTCTTAGTTCTTTCGGTAAAGTCACGTTGAAGGGAAACAACAAAATAATAAAATATATATAAAACAATAAAAATTATCACGACGTTTCGACCATAACACAAACGGTCGTCTTCAGGTGTGTTGAAGACGACCGTTTGTGTTATGGTCGAAACGTCGTGAGAATTTTTATTGTTTTATATATTTTATTATTTTGTTGTTTCCCTTCAACGTGACTTTACCGAAAGAACTAAGAATATGAATTACTGCAGTCACGAAAGCTTTAAATCAAAATTTATGCCCTGTGTAGTCGACACAGATTTTCAGGGCAAGTGCTGTTAGCGACAAGCACCTATAAAGGCCGGCACGGCGCACAAGGTTGTGGTGTGGCCAGAACCACCAAGGCTGATGTGTTTACACACTCTGCTACGTATTCATTTAAGGCTGAGTCAATTGAGGGGGAAGTCCAGGAACAGTTATAGTATCGCTTGCCACTGGTGATTAGGCGTAGCCTGGAAACGATAATGGGTAGCCAGGTTTGTAGCTTAGTGTGCTAACCACTGTGCCACCGTTCACACGTAGTAAATAGAAATTGATTGGGAGTTTATAGTTGTAGTTAGTGTCTTAACAGTTGTTGTGGGTGGTGTGGTGGCTGGAGTGGATGGTGTATGGTGGTTGAGAGGTGGTTGTGGATGGTGCCTGGTGATTAAGAGATAGTTGGAATTGGTTGAGAGGTGCTTAGTAAGTGCTTGGGGGGTGATTTAAAGGTGATTGGAGGTTGTGTGTCTGGTTACTGAGAGGTGGTTGGAGGTCGTCGAAGGTTAATAAGAGATGGTTTGGAGGTGGGTGGAAGTGGTAAGAGGTAGTTGAGTGGTGTTTGGAAATTATTGGAAGTATGTAAAGGTGGTTAGAGGTTAAATTTAGACTTAAAACTTTCGTGACTGCAGGAATTCATATTCTTGGTTCTTTTGGTAAAGTCACGTAGATAGAAAACTAAAATCAAAAAAGCAAAAAACCCACGACGTTTCGATCGCAACACAAGCAGTCTTCTTCAGGTGGAGAGAAAAGAAGACCGCTTGTGTTGCGATCGAAACGTCGTGGGTTTTTTGCTTTTAATTTTGATTTTTGTTTTCTATCTACTTGACTTTACCAAAAGAACTAAAAATATGTGGTTAGAGGTGGTTGACTCCCATTTACCTCCTGGAAGGAGCTGTGCGCGCGTACGACCATCTGGGAATGGTATGACCGCACGCGCACGAATTTGGAAGACTCTGGCATGTCAGGGTGATCCACCGACCTGCACGCACACACGGGTACACACACACACACACAGATCCCCCATGTAGACTTAACAGGCTGTTGAGGCAAGTGCTGTTAGAGAGCACCTATTAAGGCAGGCACGTTACACGAAGAGGTGGGAAGTCAGCACCGCGCCCGGCCGCCTTTGTCTCACCAGTGCTCATGTTAAACATCCTATCAGGTACTCATTTAAGGCTGGGTCGACCTAGGGGAGGCCCAAGACAGATTCAAATAAACGCCACTGTTATTGGTTGTGAGCAAACTCGGGAAGCCGGGTTCATAGCGCAGTGCGCAAACCACTGCACTACCGGTCCCACATATACACACACTCATACACACACACAAATACACACACAAATACACCCCCAGTGTTGTTACAGGATTGGTGGTGTCGCTTTGCATGGTGAGGTATGGCTTGGCTTATGCAGCGTGCTGTAGTACGACGTGATGGTCTTTTTACGTCACGTAACGTGGTAGGTGGATTGTACTGATGGTGTGCAGCAGTGTGGTGCATTGAGCTGCGGTATAGGGTGGTTTTCTGCGGTATAGTGAGGTGTGTTAAGGTGCGGTGTGCTGCGGTGTGCCGTGCGCCACCCATGCTCACCTCGACACGAGCACCATGATGTTGTTCTTTTCATCAAGCCAGTGGCGACGTACGTAGACGTAATCACGTGCGTACAGGGGGTACTGCAGTGCACGCACATGCACACATAAACAAACACACGTGCGCAGCCCTGCTGTCAATCCACTGCTGGGTGAGTGCCTACCCATACCGCGTGGGTCATGGGGGTTGGTGGACAATTCTGCTCTGTGCGGACCGGTGAAGGCGGAAAGCATAGATGTGGCAGCACAGGAGTACAGTACAACAATGGAATTTGCTGCTCACCATGTAGCCCCCGACCACCCTCCAGCACTTTGTTTTGTGCATGGGGGTGGCCCATCCAAGCCCTATCCAGCCTCAAACCTGCTTAGCTTCTGAGATCTGATCTGGGTGATTTAGTCACACACATAGATGGAGACAAATATCTCTGACATAGCCTTACATATTATTGGGGAAAGCGCTGTTATCGAGCCCCTATTCAGACTGACACGTGTGTGGCCACCACCACCTTTGTCTCCTGGTGCTGTTTATGCAGCAATACCAGGTGCTCATTTAAGGCCGAGTCAACCTAGGAGAAGTTCAGGACTGGTTTAGATGCCAAGTGCGACTGATGTTAGCCAAGGCCGGAAACCAAACTTAGGGCTTCGGTTTCAAAGCGCAATATGCTAACCATTGTACTGTTGCTCCCCACGCAAGAATAACAGCTGCCATTGTGCCAGGATAGGTGCACTTTGAGGGTACAACACACATGCACATGTTGCATACGTCCACACAAGTTGTATTTAATGGCATGTTTTTGTAATTTGTTCTTGTAGCGTTCTTACCCGCCCCTACTGGACATCTGTGAAAAATAGCTTTATAGCTCTTTGGATTCCTCCAGTATGAATACGTTTTTTGATTCTGACAAAGCTGCAATCAGCCACCATCTATATAGGGAATACGCTCCTGGGTTTGTAGTGGGACGGGTGACTTGGAGGTCAGTGCTGAGCTGGTAACTACCTGATATCTTGGATTCAAATCCAGGTTTCAGCCACTGCCTGTGATTAAAGCAGATTGTCAAGTGCAGTGAGTTAATGTTCTGAGCCTGGTCACCAACAACTGACACAAAGACTCATAGACTTAACATAGATACCAATAGAGAAATTAAACCACCACTAAATTTAGTTCTGAATTCCAGCTCTGAGGAATAAAATATTGGTTTGTCTATCGTGAGACGAACATTGCCCTCATGTGGCAAAGCGGGCTGGAAAATTGCAGTCCTCTCTTGTGTGAATCAAAGGTCACTTGAAGGGATCTGAGAGGTAGTTCTATGAGATCTGCTTCCATGGGCCATTGTCTAGGAAGGAGGGCCGTGGCTACTCTGTGACACCGACAGAATTGTGGAAAAAACTGTGGAGGGGGGGAGAAAAAAAGGTGCCATTGTGTACCGGGAAGTGCGTGACCCAGTGGATGACCTCTGACCCCGTGGATTCGTCGTGATCGATGAGGTCGAGTCTGATGACCAGCTGATCCCATCTCTTCCTATACTCGATGTCCAGCTGTGGGACACGTACACACACACAAACTAACACAAAGATCCCCCGTATAGCCTTAACAGACTGCTGGGGCAAGTACTGTAAGCGAGTATCTATGAAGGCAGGCATGGCACAGTAGGGGGTGGATAGCCAGCACCACGTCAGGCCGAATGTCTCCCTAGTGACGATGTTTATAAATCATTAGACCTCCTTTGCCAGTACCAAAATGTAATAGGGGTTTTCCCCTTTTTTCAGCAACAAAACTAAAACCTTTTTACAAAGGCATACGCCTATTGGCGTCATCTTGTCGAGCACCAATTGGGTCGAGGCTCAACAGAAAGCTGTCCCTTGGTGTGGACCAATCAGTTTCAAGGACAATGCATATATTTTGATGACGACCGTTTGTGTTATGGTCGAAACGTCGTGAGAATTTTTATTGTTTTAAATATATTTTATTATTTTGTTGTTTCCCTTCAACGTGACTTTACCGAAAGAGCTAAGAAAAATGCATATATTATCATAGTATGTTTTTTGTTTGCATTTTGACTGCAGGTATTGTGGTTAATGCAGACATGAATCCTTGTAAAAAGGTTTCAGTTTTGTTGCCAGAAAAAATGGGAAAAACCCTATTATTACTTTATGTTTATAAATTTTACCAGGCACTCAATTGAGGCTGAGTCTACCTAGGGGAAGCCTAGGACTGGTTGAGATAACTGTAAAATGATGTTGCCCCGAAGCAGGAATTGAACTCTGGTGGTCAGGTTCGTAGCGCAGCGCGCTAACCATTACATTACCGCTCCCCTCGAGTGCAAGCAGTGGCTGTACATGCACACACAGACACACACTGCTATGAGATTGCCACTATACAGTTAAATCAATCTGGAATTTAGACAAATCAAGCGTCAAACTAAATTTAACACAACGCACTGCTTTTGGATTTAATTTTTTCCGGAAGCAGCCTGAAAATAATTAACTTACTTCATTTGAGAACCTGGTCTACTACAGTAATCACAGGCCACTGCTCAGATTTGAACCTTAAACTTTAACCTCTGTATTATAAGATGGTCCGGGAAAGTAAGATGCACCTCAAACTCGTGCCGGATGTCATTAAAACTATACAAATGTGATCGACCTAGAGGAGGAGGCACAGGACCGGTTAAGATAATCGTCACTGTTGGTCATGAGCGGGAATCTAACTTGGGTTGCCGGGTTTGTAGCGAACCCCGCTAACTGCTGTGCCACCGCTCCCCACACACAAACGCACGTGCACACATGGACTGTTGCACACGTAGCTAGACAGACTTAATGGTTAACACAGAACTGTGTGCACGTGTGTGCGCGTATGTTACCTGCACATTTAAAAATTGCTGAGGTGAGATGTCTGTGTAAGTCCCGTACACTGAAACACACACACAACATACGCATTAACACATGCTACACATGCCAGGCTAGGTGCACTATGAGCACAAGTGAATCTTTCCTGATTCTGTGGTTGAAGGTTATACTGTGAGTAAAGTTTGGCTGTATTCATACAGGTGTGTGTGTGCTGTCACGTCTCTACTGTTATAGCTGTGTGCTGTCACCTCTGTACTGAAACATCTGTGTGTTGTCAGTACTAGTATCTATATAGGGAATACGCTCCTGGGTTTGTAGTGGGACGGGTGACTTAGAGGTCAGTGCTGAGCTGGTAACTACCTGATATCTTGGATTCAAATCCAGGTTTCAGCCACTGCCTGTGATTAAAGCAGATTTTCAAGTGCAGTGAATTAATGGTCTGAGCCTGGTCACCAACAACTGACACAAAGACTCATAGACTTAACATAGAGACCAATAGAGAAATTAAACCACCACTACTAGTATCGCTGTGTGTACTGTCAGTACTGGTATGGCTGCGTGTGCTGTCACCTCTGTACTGTTACAGCTGTGTGTGTTGGCACCTCTGTACTGTTATATATACGACTTTTCCAAAAAAATATTAAGAGTGATATTGCCTATTTTTAACAATAGTTTTTTCATATGTCTGGATTTAGCGAGATCTAAAACAACGCAGTAATGGAGGCATGTGAACTCCTCCCTCGAGACAACATAGGCCAAAGGAGCACCCGCCCCCCCCCGCCTCGCCCCCACACAAAAAAGACATCTGGAGGTTAATTATTCACAAGCTTTGACTTGGGAAAGTACAATTGTAGAGTTGGATTGAACACCACCTCATAGAAATCTTTTCAAACATCATGGGATTAAACGTTAACTTGATAGAATGTATTGTTATATGATGATGTAGCCCAAGAGGTTTTGAATACAACTAGTTGCATGCTTTATTAAGACCCACCTACCTATACATGAGTGCCATGAGATCTGGGTAGGCATATACAATTGATAACTAATTATAGAAGTTTTGCATTGAAGTAGTGAACCAAAGGATCATTCAGAAGATATACAATGTGAACTATGTCAATTCTCCACGATCAAAATAATATGTATTCCAGGGGTATAACCAGAGCCTGCCCAACCGCCTCTGTCTTCCCAGTGGCTGTCATTACATGCTGCAGCAGGAATTCATTTCTAAGGGTGAGCCGATTTAAAGAGGGAGGAAGTCCGTTTCTCAATAAACAAGGCTACAGACACGCCACACTTAAGGGCAATTAACAACATCTGTGTCCACAAGCCTTGAGATGACCTCCGAAGGGGGAAGTATGGCCGAGGTGACAATCACTGGCTCAGGATGTCCAGGCAGCCATAACAAAAGGACAGCAACTAACTAATGACGAGCCAAGATGCAAAATCAAAGGAACATCTGAGCCTTTGTGAGAATAAAAAATGGCAACAGCTGACCCAAGGAAGCAAAAGTCGGGAAAATATCGGACATAAGGAGGAAGCCAAACCACACAAACTAGATCTGCTCCAGTCAGACTCTGGGACTTACTCTCGTGACTGGCAATAGTAGGGAGCTCTGCACTGGCAGACTACGCATCACGGGAAGGTTTTTTTTTCTATTTCATACATGTCATTGGGAGAGTCACTGCAAAGCTAAGGCTTGCACTCGCGGCATTGCGATACAATGTGGGGGAGAGTACTGTGAACGAAACTGCCCCCGGTGAAGAGGTTGCTTTATACAGCCTTCACACATGATCACAGTCTGAAGATCGTTCCTATTGTGCTCAGATCAAAGTCAACCTCTCCGAGGGGAGATTTAAGGCAGCCACCACTCGTGAGTGTGCCCAGTACCTCGGCAAGCCACAGGTGAAGGACAGTTAAGGGTCAGATCAGAGACTGACGCGGAACGAGATAACCAGATCTGGAGCGTGTTCACTGAGCAGAGTACGAGACGTACAGGAAACTGCCGGAGGACTCTCGGGAAAAGGGGGGAAGACACGACGGTCGCTGTCTCTCCCAGCTGCTCCTCAGTCTGCAAGGGTCAACCGTGCCTGATGCCAAGGGGGGTGACGTGCTGCCACCCAGCGGACGAGCTGCGAGCACTATCTGGCGACGTGGCCACCGTAGGCACCACTGCAAACTGACTCTGACCCATTGACCCCTTCCAGCGTGCCGACTCGACAGCTACTCTAGCTGTTGAAGGAGCCTGACGGGCGCGCAGCCCGAGTGGACCACACGCCGTGTGCCGACACACACCCGCCGACCCAACGCCCCCTGCTGGGGACCTGAGGTATTTTCGGTACAGGAAACAGGCTACACAAGCTGCTCGCTTCCATCTGGACCCCAGAGCCACAGTTGGTAATACAATCCATGTGCAGAGATCGTAAGTAGACGAACTCAAACCATACTACCCGCTATAATTATTGAACCTCGTGGTGACTGCCCCTCCAACACACACAGACACAACATGCATATCGGTACGAATAAGGTTGTTCCCTGGTGTTTTGTTTCGCATAGGGTTGCCATTCCAATGTGGTGTGTTAAGTATTAACTGGTCGTGGAGAAGCATTGTTCTGTCCTTTAAGTTACATAAATACGGTCGCTAGAAGTATTTTAGTCGGTTGTTTCTTGTAATCTCACCAACGAATTCATTGACGTCCTACTAGTCAATTGATAAGCATCTATTTTCCAAGTCTACACACTCGCATGAATACTATTGTTTTGAAATATTTATTTTAATCGCATAATCTCACCAATAATTCATTGACGTCCTACTAGCCAATTGATGAGCATCTATTTTCCAAGTCTATACACTCACATTAATACTATTGTTTTGGGATATTTATTTTAATTGCATCTTACCCGTGAATTTTAATTGATGTCCTACTAGCCATTTGATAAGCATCTACGTTTCAAACCTATACTCTTACCAATGAAATACTTGATGCCCTTTTGTCATTGGACACACATTTCTTTCGCACGTTTCCATATTCAAATTGCCATTTTTAAGGGCTTCCATATCGTTGTGTATAGTCGCGTTACCATGATAAGTTAGCCTATTGTTCTATTGCCCTGTTTAACAACGTAACTATAAGACTTGACCATTGATGATTTAATTTGTACGGATCGATGAGTACGGTATTTGCATGAGTACTGTTGTGGTAATTCTGATGATAAGAGTGTTTGCATATTAAAGTGTTTTTAGATATTAAAGTTCATAATAGAGGTTTTTTTAGTTAGATCGCGTAAATGTATAAATGTGTCGTTAAAACCCGCCACCACCTGGCACAGCCAACTAGTAAGGGTTGTCACGTAAACAGAACGTGGCCAATTCGTCACTAGTACAGCACACCGGTGTGGTGTGTGAGAGAGCCAAGCCACAACATTTACAATCGGAGTACGAGGTTTTGCCAGTAATTACAACTAGCTTCATCAGGCGACAGCAATATTTGTGGAGAAGTCCACCTGTTTCATTCCTTATATCGAGGCGTAGATGTTGTGACCACACTTCTGTGCTCTTGCGCAAAGTGGGGGGGGGGGGAATTAATGAGCCAACGTGCATTATGCATGCACATCATGCGAGCCCTTTGATCTTGTCCTTCCTGTCCATTTTGTGTATTAAAATAGCCGTACCAACGGTAATCCCTATTGAAGTATCGTGCACTATATAGGCATGCATTTAAACAATGTATTATTTGATGATTCGCTTCCATGCAGCACTAAGTCGGTCGCTATCCGAACGGTTAAAATTATTTTTATTTCTTTCAATTTCGATAGATTCTCTAAATATTCTTGGCCAGTAGTAGCTAGCTCTGCACATAACTTCAACATTATCAAAATCAATTGAGTGTCCTTGTTGGCTACTGCTGACAGTTGTATTTGAGAGTATTTAATATTTCTCTGATGTTCTTTTAGTCTTGTGCTGATCATTCGTCCTGTTTGCCCAACATAACATTTGCCACAAGTGCAGTTAATCCTGTACACACCTTCTGTTGATAGCTTCGGTAATACATCTTTTGTACCAGATATTAATTTCTGTATTTTAAGTACCGTGCCAAATCTGACTCGGATGTTCTGGCTAGTTTTTCAGTTACTCCCGCAATGTACGGTATTTTGATCGTTTTAAATACTTGGGCAGTTTCAATGCTTGTGTTATTTGATTTGGTTTTGGCATTCAATGCTCTGTTGAATTGTGCATCATTGTAACCGTTAATTTGCAGTGCTTTAACATGTTGAATTTCACTTCTCAGACTGTCACCATCTCACACTTTCTTAGCTCGATGAATGAGCGTCTTGATAAGAGCAGATTTCTGCGCGGGGTGATGGTGTGACTGCATTCAGATAGGCGTCACACCATCACCATGGTCAGACCATGAACACCTAACCAGTGAACTCAAACACGTACACCAAGCTCTCAAGGTGAATGGATATTCTGACTACACAATTCGCAAAACCATCACCCCAACCGTGAGGAAGGAGCCATCTGAGGATCCAATCAAAACCATCACCTTGCCATATATAGCAGGGGTAACCAAAAATATTTCCATAAATCATGAACAAACACAAGGTTCAGGTCCGATTTAACACAGTACATAAAATTCGTGATCTGATCTCATTTGTGAAGGACAAGATCCCTGATATGCAATACCCCAGCATCTACAAACTAAGCTGTCTGTGGCAGTAGTTACATTGGGGAAACTAAGCGACATGTCTCGGACCAGGTTCGTGAACATAAGGCAGTTCTGAAACATGGTAGGACCAATACCTCGGCCGTGGCTGATCATTTTTTTTAATGCGGTGGGCTCACATGAAATTGATTTCTCTAAGACGAAGGTACTTTGCAAACCCACCGGCTATCAACAAAGATTCGTTCATGAAGCCATCCATATATACATAGACACAATTTCAACCGAGAAGATGTGTACAAACTCAGCAATCACTGGAAGGACGTTATCAACCAGTTTAAGTCATAACTGGCTGTAATTTTCCATTTTAGACCTGGCAGCCCTTTAATTGGTGGAAGCCCACCACCAGGACCATCACTGCCCACTACTACCATCACCACTAGCAGTAGCCCCTTATTGGTGGAAGCCCACTACCAGCACCATCACTACCCACCACTACCATCACCTCTAGCAGCAACCTCCACCGCCACCAGTGTGAGTGTGTAATTTCCCCGGCAGCACCGCCCACAAGCTGCTGGGGGACACTGTTTTGAATCCCTTACATTAACATTAGCTACCCCGCCCATGCTACTGCCCTACATGCTACTGGCGGACACCGTTTTTAATCCCTTACATTAACATTAGCTACCCCGCCCATGCTGCTGACACTTAGGCCACGCCCATTTTAAACCTTGAGAAACAGCTTGCCTTGAGAAGCTAACCCACCTTTTTCTGATGACGACCGCTTGTGTTGCGATCGAAGCGTCGTGGTTTTTTTAATGTTTATCTTTATTTTTTCTATCTTCGTGACTTTACCGAAAGAACCAAAGAAAATGAATTCTTGCAGTCACGAAAGTTAAGTCAAAATGATCTTAATTGTAAAAACTGTATCCTGTGGTGAAATCTGAATCCTGAGACCGGCCATAATTACAATAAAATCATAATCAGTAAATGTTTAAGCGAGAATCATAATCAGTAAAAGTTAAAGCGAGAATCACTGTATTATCACGATTAGTAATACACCCCTAGACAACGAAGCCAAGCATCACACACACACTCGCACATCAATCACAAATAACCACACACACATAATACACCCCCTAGACAAAGAGCCAATAATACACATAACTACACACACACCTATTAATCATAATACAAACACACACATTAATAATACGCCTACACTCGCGCACATAGATAATACACATCATACACATACATTTTCACGTAACATCTTACACTCACCTAATCACACATACGAATGATCACATTACGCTTACGATTAACATCAATTAACATTACACACACACATTTCCTAATTTTAATAATTGTGCCTAATTTGCATAATTTAATAAATGTGCATGATTGCATACGTTTTCATTTTTTTTCACAATTTTTCCACTACACAACATATACAAAAGTACTGATATAGCTGAGTATGCTGTCACATCTGTACTAATACAGCTGTGTGTGCTGTCACCTCTGTACTGATACAGCTGAGTGTGGGTCGTGCTGAGCGGTCGTCTCCACAGTGTAAACCCGGGTCTCTGTGTCACGAGCTCCCAGCCGGGCAAGGTCATGTGATCGTCGCCCTCATTATCCGCGTCGGACCCTGGCAATGCTGAAAGTCGCTCCACTGTCTGCAGGTCAACCACACACCTAGGGGATGGGTAAAGGGGTGGATGCACACAAGGTGGGGTGACGTTAAGGCAGTGCGAGTTACACATGGGGACAGCAATGGCTGATGCAGCTGGGAGACACGCAGGGTGGTCACACTTGTGCCGCATATTGAGAAGGTTCTGGGTTAGATTCCTGACTCTGGCATGTTACTGTGTGGAGTTTGTACGTTCTCCAGGCTATCTGGTTTCCTCCCAGAGCTGAAAAAAATAAACACCACACACGATGTAACTGATATTGGGCCAAACATCCCAATGCTGAAAAATCACCTGCAAATTACTCCATTGGGATTACCCACAGCAACATCGCCCCGGACTACAAAGACCTGGCTGGATCCTGCTGAAAAGGAGTCTTGAGACTCAGTGATGCTTTCCCAGACAAGCAAGAATAACAATAAGAATGAGAACACATAGTGACAGGTGTAGGCTGTGGAGAGGCTGTGGTACCACATCTTGCCACTTTTGTATCTTTCTACGTGTCACGTTCTCACCCTTTACGTTCTCAATCTTTGCTGTGTCCCTGTCTCACTCTGTTCCTCTTTCTCCTTGTGTTCAATCCACACGTTCACTCTTTTTCTCTTCTCGCCCCCCATCACTGGAACAAACTTCCCTCTCCACATTAAGCAGTCACCTTCATTCACTAGTTTCCGCTCCTCACTCAAAACTCACTCAATTTCCCTAGCTCACCCCACGAACACCCCCCTTCATCTCCCCCTCATAACCGCCACCGTTAATTTTCCCTCTTCATATTCTCATTATATGGCATTCACTCATTCCCCATTTCTTCAATATATTCATCATAATTTACTGTCATCAATTTTGCTTTCACCGAATTCAAGCATTACAGATTTGTCCATTGCTTCCTCTCAACTATTTCATTGACCTCATCTCCACCATTATATTCGTATGTACTATTGTAATTTTTTTGTAAAGCGCCTTGGTTAAGGTGCTATGTAAATTCCTTTAAGATAAGATGAGGCTGTGTTGATGGTGGTTGTGACAAGTCTGTCCAAGTCAGCGGTGCTACAGATCATGGCTGTGGTTTCTGATGCTGTATCTACGACGGTTGGTGCTGTGGTTGTAGTGATCGAGGCTGTGGCTCGTGGTGGTTGAATTTCTCTATCCGGTTGATCGTGGCGACACCGTGGTTGCTGTGATCGCGGGTTGTGTCTGTGGTGACGTTGCCGTTCGCTCTGCTCCGCCACCTCACCGCGTGATCTCATCGTCTCCAACGCTGTTCCTCTCCCAGCTGAACAGCACCGTCGCCATGGCTCCCAACGAACGGGTCCGCAGCCATGACCACCACCCTATGCTACACCACCCGGCGCTCCACCCCGAGCCCCACCAGCCCCATCCCGATCCCGAGTGTGATCCGGATCCCCATCCAGATCCCCCGCCACCAGAGGATGAGAGTTTAGCACGGGCGCAAACGCAACGCTGAAATGAAAGGCAACGTTTCGGGGGGAGGGGTAGACAGAACGTTCAGGTAGGGAGGAGGAACTATTGAGAGGAGACATGTTTGTGGTAAGAGGATGAACGTTTAGAATCCGAATTATTTCGGGATAGACAAGGAAGAATGTATAATATGCATATGTGACGGGCATCAAGCATGCCAAGCTGATGAATAACTATTTAGGTTGCATGGCCTCATGCAAAGGAATGCCCAGCATGTTTTCGGATTCACATAGGGGCACACACGCATGAGCACGCACGTGCGTACACACACGGGGGCTACCTGATGCGGTCTTGAGATGAAAGGCTATTTTTACATTCTAACAAGATCTATTCGGGTTTGACCTGCCAGATTACTGCGGGTAATTTGAGCAATCACGAAAATCCGACTTGCGGCTCTGCCACTGGCAAGTTTATACTGAAAGGGACGAGCGTGACCGCGTGCCAGGCTCGGACACCTGTCAGCACTGGCCGAGGCTGGGAAACTATGAGAGACGAAGGGGCGGCTGTTTCCTGTAAAATAAAACTAAGAAGTAGAATGTTCAGTCTTTTGTCAAGACATTGCTGTATGTATGTTGAACTTTCTTCACACCGTACGTAGCCAACCGTGCTAATCGGAGGTGCGGAGGACAACAAACTAAACACAATTGACTATACTTCACCACGTTGGTCAGTGCTGAGTGAAGGAGAGACCCAGAACCAGTTTATACGTAATTCGCTACTGATGTTCGCATTAACCGGGAATCAAACTCATGTGACCAGGTCCCCACACCTCCGATTTCCCTGCATCTCCGATTAGCACGGTTGGCTACGTATGGTGCAATAAAAGTTCAACATACATACATAATACAGTGCGCTAACCACGGTGCCACCACTCGACCCATTGTAATATTTGGTTACACGGTATATTCAATGTCAACATTTCAAGCGTCTCCCTGGAGTAAAGGGGGCAGTGCTCATCTGTATTAGTGGAACCAATGGTGGAAATTATTCACTCCTATTACAGGCACCAGTCTATCCAAAGGATCATTCCTCATCGGCCATGATGAATCCACTGCTTACTGCTGTGTCATGGGTTAACCAAATGAGATGGCTGTCAGATGCAACACTTGTGCTTCCCAATGTAGCAACATACATACAGACAGAAAGACACACCGATTGACACTTACAAATATACATGAAAATATATCATGCATCGCACACACTACACATACAATTTCCAACATAAGACTGTTGGGGCAAGTATTGTTAGTGAGCTTCTACAGAGATATGCCACGAATTACAGACACACAATCACACAGCATGTTTTACATACACGCACATCAAGAATTGCAAACGCATAATGAACTACATACATACACACACTCATATCATGAATTACAAACGCACAACTAAACACCTTGAAGTACACACATGCACACACCAAACACCAAAGACACACCACCGAACACTCTGCATTACAACCACACCAACCAGCCAACATGACTTCCGAACCTCTGATTAGCATCTGAATCTCCAATTAGCACGGTGGGCTACGTACGGTGCAAAAGATATTCAAAATACACACTTCGGCACTCATCATGAATTACACACACTATGAATTACACATGCACCATTATTTACACACACACCGTGAATTACACCGTGAATTACCCACACACCATGAATTACACACACCATGAATTACACACACCGTGAATTACACACACACACCATGAATTACACAGACTATGAATTACACACACACCGTGAATTACACACATACACACACCATTACACACATACACACACCATTAATTACACACAAACACACACCATGATTTACACACACCGTGAATTACACACACCGTGAATACATACACCATGAATTACACACATACACACCATGAATTACACACACACTATGAATTAAACACACTATGAATTACACACACACCATGATTTACACACACTATGAATTACACACACCATGAATTACACACACCATGAATTACACACCATGAATTACACACACCATGAATTACACACACCATGAATTACACACCATGATTTACACACCATGAATTACACACCATGAATTACACACCATGAATTACACACACACCATGAATTAGACACCATGAATTACACACACACCATGAATTACACACACCATGAATTACACACACCATGATTTACACACACCATGATTTACACACACTATGAATTACACACCATGAATTACACACACCATGAATTACACACACCATGAATTACACACACCATGATTTACACACACTATGAATTACACACACTATGAATTACACACACCATGAATTACACACATACACACCATGAATTACACACACTATGAATTACACACCATGAATTACACACACTATGAATTACACACACCATGAATTACACACACCATGATTTACACAGAGGTTCATAATGGCCAACGTACCTTGGGCTCCCCTCTCCATCTCACGTGGCGAGACGCGACTCGCGCGCTCAACCACGCGCGTAGCATTGCGATCACAGCTCCAGCAGCAAGCAGACCTAGACGGCAACAAAACCCCACCCGTAGTGGACCTTAACGACGATCGCTCGCCGTTATCGATGATAATGATACTCTCTAGCCAGGTGGAGACGATGAGAGAGAGAGGCTGCCGTCACGCGAGCGACCCCGCCGCGACAGCTGCGACCTCAGTTGTGTGAGGGGGGGGGCTTGTGGCGGCAGTGGCACAAACAAAAAAAGTCGCTGCCACGGCCGCCATCTTCGTGAAGGGAAAGCCGGCGGCGGTTTGAAACCGCGCGAGGGGTCGCCGTCACCTGACCATCGGGACGGTGACGTCACCAAGCCTTGCGGCACCAGCGGGGGGCCGTCGGATTCCCCTTACAAATATGGCCGCCGCCGCCGCATTGCACGCGCGATGTTTTTTTGGGGGCGGCCGTTGCGCAAGGGATTGTGCTCTCTTTTTGTTCTCATGCAGGGTCGTCTACGGCAGCTTAGCTGCCTGTTGAAATTGTTTTTAATCTTAAAATGTTATTTAGTTTTCTTTTTCGATTTAAAGCTTTCGTGACTGCAGGGATTCATCTTCTTGGTTCTTCCGGTAAAGTCACGTAGAATGAGAATGAAATAATACAAATAAAACATAATAAAATAAAATTCTCACGACGTTTCGGCCACAACACAAGTAGCCTTCAGGTGAAGGAACAGGACTGTCGGAACGACAGCGCTTCAATGAACGCTGCTAAGATTCTCCAGTGTGCGTGACATCCGTTATATGAACCTTATGACGGGACCCCAGGGTCCCATAAGCCCCCGGCTCTCGCACACATTATATTATAATGTAAACAAAAACGTTGGTCTTTTTCACCAATGGGTTTGGAGAATGGTGGCAAGTGTTGTCTTGTTAAACTATGCCTTTAAATCAAGATTAAGCCTTTAAAACTGAAAACTACTTAGGGGCCGTCCATCAATGACGTCACGCACCTAGAGGGGGGTCAGACATTTGTGACGATGTTTGACGAGGGGGGATTTGAGAAATGTGACGTCACATCAAAATGCACAACTTTAAATAAATATAAACAACACGTTCTACTTAATTAAATAGAATTGTTATAACACTAATTTTGATTAATTTTCATTATTAACTTTTTGATTGCTTAAATGTATTAAGGTCACCTTTTATTTTTAGAATAGATTATTTTATCATGTTAAAAATAAGAACCGGAAGTCAAACGACGTCACACTTTTATAGAGAACTAGCGGTTAGTACCCGGCGTTGCCCGGGCGAAAAAGGCAGACACACACATGGACTTACAAACAGACATGGACCTATACACATAGAAACCCACTGACTTACACGCACGCAAACACATATGGACTCACACACACAGACATCGACTTGAGAGACATGTAGTTACACACACAAATCGACTCAAACACACAGTTACACACACATATCGACTCACACATACATACATAGACTGAACAAGAACCGCCATTTGCCACTAAGTGGCAGTGACGTCACCACAACGCTTGTGGCAGGCTATGTGCACCTTGAGGCCACGTGAAGTGTCGAACACCTGCTGACAGGAGGTCACGGGGCAGACCCAGATGGCACAAGTCGACTGAGATGACTGGCAGATGCACCACCTATGCCCTGTACCCTGCTAACTTGCTGTGCTTTAGCCACACGGTGCACCGCTCGTTCTTGTGAGCGTCGCTCCTCCGCCCTCCGTTGTTGGAGGTCGACTGCCTCCAACTGGCCTGTAGCGTCCTTCACGAGGCTCCTCCACAGATACCGACCTTGACACCGCTGATACCAGTCATTGACAAGTCCACTCAGCTGCACATCGTCCTGTAGCACATCACTCCATCTCTTCTCTAGCCTGTGCCGCGCCCGTTTAGAGACCTCGATCCGGCGGAACAAAAGGTGTTTAGGCATGCGGTGGCTGGGCATGCAGGCTAGATGGCCCAGCCAACGCAGCCTTGCCTGGCCATACAGGCTACATGGCCCAGCCAACGCAGCCTTGCCTGGCGTAGGAGGTCACCAATGGGACTTTGTCCAGATCTTTCAAGTATTTGTGAGCTCATCACATGATCGTAGGCAGGCCAGCCTAAATGTTTGTAACCGGCGAAAATGTTGCATTAGGGGGGTCCAAGTTTCGCAAGTGTAGAGAAGGGAGGGAATGACCGTGGGCGAGACGATGTGGAGCTTCGTGCGGAGCGAGAGACCAGGTAGCTTCAACACAGTGTTACACAGCCGATGCAAAGATAATGCCGCTCAACTGATTCAGAGTGAGACCTTTGGTGTTAAACCGGAGCCGGTCATGAGTACACTGGGCAGGTATGGGAAACTCTGCACTCTCCACAACTGGCCCATCACCAATTGTGAGTTATGGGGGTGGACTGTCCGATGGTACAAAATACCCAGGCAGGTGCTTAGTTTTGGTGGGGCTGATGGTAAGGCCCCACCTCTTAGTGGCAAGCTCCAGGTTGAGCAGCAGCGCGTCCAACTCCTCTTCTGAGTGAGCATTAATTACCAGATCATCGGCATACATAACGTGGTTGACCAATAGGGAGCCATCCCTTGACCGCACCCGGGCATCGATGAGCCTCCCATTGTATCTGTACCAGATGTGAATTATTCCGGTAGAGGCATTGAAGGCTTAACGAAGTATGTGGTCCAAATATATGTAAAAGAATGTGGGAGGCAGTGGACATCCCTTTCGCACCCCAAGATGTACAAGGATTGGCTCTGATTCACGGTCACGTAGTTTGATGTGGGGCCGCTCACCATCATGAAGGTCCTTAAGGATCGTGAGCAGAGGGTCAGAGACTTGAAAAGTACGAGGAGCAACCCAGAGCCCAGGCCTAATGATGGTATCATAGGCCCTGAGCAAGTGAATAAAGCACACATATGGACTAACACGCACACATGGACCTACAGGCACGTAACGAAATGGACTAACACTGACTAACATGGAGCCACGCACACACAGCGACGAACACACATGCACATGGACTGACACACACACACATATCAAGTCACACTCACACATTGACTTACACACACACATCGAGTGACACACACACATACATAGACTTACAGATACATTGAGCTACACACACATATGGACTTACAGATACACACACAGGGACTTACACACACACATGGACCCACGCACACACATTGACTGACAGCCACACATCGACTCACACATACATAGACTCACACACACAGACATGAACTTACACATACATATCGACGCACACACACACATGGACTGTCACACATAGACACATTGCCATACACACATTGACTGACACACATAGACTCCCACACAAACATACATGGACTGACACACGCACATAGAGGCACACAAACATGGACTGAGACACACACATGGACGTACGCACACACACACACATGTACGTACAGACACACACATGGACTCACACGCCCACATGGACCAAAAAACACACACATGGACCAAAAAGCACACACATAAAAAGAAATCTACTTACACTGACTGACATGGAGGACTGTACAGTAGTACATGCTGACTCTATGGCAGTAGATATCGACTCTACAGTAGTACATGCTGACTCTATAGCAGTATTAATCGACGGTACAGTAGTACATGCTGACTGTATAGCAGTAGAAATCGACTCTACAGTAGTACATGCTGACTGTATAGCAGTAGATATCGACTCTACAGTAGTACATGCTGACTCTATATCAGTATTAATCGACGGTACAGTAGTAGATGCTGACTGTATAGCAGTATTTATGGACTGTACAGTAGTACAGGCTGACTCTATAGCAGTATTTATGGACTCTACAGGAGTACATGCTGACTGTATATCAGTATATTTAGTGACTCTATAGCACAAAGTACTCACGTGACAGAGTGCCGTGGTGTGGCCGTGAGCTTGACTGAACGCGCATCACTTGGCAGGGTCCGCCCTCCCCCCCACGCAATTGTCGTCAGTTGGTACGGTCGAGCTCGTGCAGTAAGTACATAATTAAAATAAGAATGGCACTAAATCACTAATTAAACTAATTTAAAGTTGACGGCTGGGAAAACAGAATAGTCTATTCCCACCGCGGGGCTCGGGGCGTGCCACCCGGCATTTTTTTTCGGACTTGAACCCCACCGTTTGAGAGCCAAATTCTCCGCAAGCGCGCGCACGCGGAGACTTTTATATATAAGAATAATACTTCGTCAGGAAAAGCAAGTGCAAATAAAATTTTAATGCTGTCGTTATATTAAAAACGCTTGATAGTTTCGAAAAATAAATTTTAAAAACGTAAGTACTATTCTTCCTGTCATATCAATCGACAGAATTATAAATCACACGCATTTGTTTATCTCCATATATATAAGGCAAATTGTGATTGTGTGTCTGTTCAAAATGTTTAGCGTACTTCCCGACATGCAACAAACTTGAAATTTGCCATGTGGGTACTTTCCAGACTGTACACCATGCAAAAATTATTTTAAAAAATACACTTCTTTTTTTAGGGGGGGGGGGGGGGGGGAGCTCAACAATGCATTTATTTTTTTTGCACGGCAAGTGAGCTGTGACGTCAAATTTGTCACGTGACCCGCGCACGTGGAAGCGTAACGCATTGTAGTGTAGTGGTCAGCGCGCTGCGCTACGAACCCGGCGACCGGAGTTCGATTCCCGCTCACGGCCACCACCGGTGACGATTATTTGAACCGGTCCTGGGCCTCCCCTAGGTCGACTCAGCCTAAAAAGAGTAACTGGTGTGTGAACATCGCCACTGGGGAGACAAAGGCGGCCGGGCGTGGTGAATCCAAGTCCTGGGCGAAGCCGGGTAGTAAAGCTAGTTAAATATACAATATCAGTATTACATTTTTATACCATTATGTTACGATAACATTAATAATATAGAGAGAAAGTTTTTGCGTACAAAGATATCAAAAAGCCATTTTGAGCATGGAGGGATAATTAATCATGGAGTACCTACTAAATATATGTCATTCGGCAAGCCAACGTGTCCTCCATGATTAATTATTCCTCCATGAAATTTAGTTCTTTGTACCCAGCAAATGGCGTCATGCTTTTTTCCGCCATTGTCCTACTATTTACCATGAGTGACTTTAACATTTGAATTTAAGCATTTAGTATTTTTGATTTAACTACGGAGTTCCCTTAGGAAAATGAAAATGTTTTTAAACCGCTCAGGATTCAGTTTATCGTGTGCACAATTTAGTATTTTATGCGCAAAAAATAATAAA